GCTTTCTCGGTATCCACAACGCTGAGACCCCTTCGTCATAAATGATTGCATTTTGCTCTCTGATTTCTCTATTCCAGGGGTAGGATGCAGTATACTAGCAAACTTGCTCAAAGCTTGGTGGACACTGTCTTTCACCAGGCTCACAAGGTCATCCAACCTGGGCTGTAAACCCTCCTCCTCTAGACGTGAACAAACCTTTATGAACTTCCTTTGTAGACGAACAGGTGATCTCCTGGCAACAGTCTCAAGCACGGAATTTGATTTCAATTCATCTACGCAGTTAAGAGACATGAGTGTATTTCTATATATCATCAAATTATCCAAGAACTCTGCAAGTTCCTCTGGATTATAGTTCAACTGTGAGCCATTACCTTTCACTGTCTCGAAAGTACTACGGGATATCATAAATGGTTTTCCAAACCTTTGACGTAGTATCTTCATGGCCTCAGTATATCCTTCGTTCGGAGGCATAAACTTGCATCACTGTATGGCTCTTGCAGCCACACCAGTGCAGTATCTCAACAAATACATTAACTTCATTTCATCATTTAATACAAAACCACTCAGCATGACCTCAAACTCTTTGATGAACTGTGGGTAGTCGGCTGGGTTTCCATCGAAGTATCGCAGTTCAAACTTAGGCAATCTTAAGCTCTTACTATCACTTAATGGTGAAGCGTGAACATCAAACTCAACATGCTGAGCATCATACATATCATTACAATTAACAGGCAACTCATCGTTACTTACTTTTTTGTCTGCTTCCATGGTGCCATGTCCCTTTCTTCACCCAGGCATTATCCAACGTCACCAAAGAATCCAAATTGCGTTGATAATCCTTGTCCAAAGAGAAGCTGGCTGCAGATCTAGTAAGTACACCCGGAAGAGTTCCAGTAGGCGCTCAAGAAGACGAAGAGAAGAATAAAAACTGCCCCAGAAGAAGAACAATTGAATAAAGCTGCCTCAGATGGCACTCCAGAAGACGAACAGAAGAAGAAAAACTATCAAGGAACTTAGCCCTAAGTTCCTATTGTAATGAAGACGTAGGCGATTGAACCGATAAAACTATGGATGTCCTTCAACTTTAAATCCAAAACACCAGTATTCCTTGAACGAAATTATATTGTTTGGCAATTAAAGTGAAGACAACTACAAAGTCTACAAACAAATGTTAGGTGCAAATGAAGTTATAAAGTACTTTTATTCGTATTTAACTCCAGTCTTCATTCAACTTGCAAGCGATCGACCATTCGCGCCTTCGAATTGCCCACCAATGGTTGCCAGTTCCAATAAACAAACGTTCAATGTTCACGTCCATTGACAGTGGGACTAAGAGTTTCTTTAACAGAAGGGATTCTCCTGCGACTCAATAGAAAAACTCAGCAATGGTGTACTTGTATAGCGGGGAAAATTCAAACCATGAAGCCATTAGATTACTGCGAGACAGCGAATAAATTGCACTTCCTGCCGTTGACATTACTGCGGTGACTGTATGCTTCTTTCCAATCACCACTCTGTCAGCTGATACATTTGTGTGTATAAAGTTCGCGCCTTTCGTGGAAGACATTGCGAGTTGAAGAGTTTTTTAGCCTCCACCTACCTTTCAACCTGAAGCCGCACTAGGCAGAAGTGATCACGCTGAATGTTTTACAGGTCATAGCATTTTGCTTGCAAATTCCTCTTTTTCGCTGGCTTAAGAAAGACACTTAGCGCTGTTTTTAGTTTCTGGGTATTGATTACGCTAAATCAGTTGCACTTAGTCTGTGCCCTCTCTTTTAGTCACTTCTGTGATGATGAGATTCATTAGGTTTTCTATATTACTTACCGTCTCTCTGTCGGGTTTGCTCGGTAATCTCATTCCTGCCAGGATGTTCAGGGTATTAGTTCACTAAACTGCACCATAATATTATCAATATGTTTGACAGTCCAGATATCCTGACTATGTTTTCTGAAAATTCTGCATCCACTGGGCTGTTTTTATTCGACGAATTTCAGTCAGCAGTTCATCAACAGCTGACTTCAGTCGTTCTGTTCCTGGATGATGACTGATATTTGATAATACTTATGTAATGTGTGAGAGATTCACTATGGATATCGGATGATACATTTTTGGGAGTGGTGCAACTGCCAGTAGTCAAGACATATTTACTTTCAGTTCTAACCATGTCACATAGTATTGACAACTTAGCTTGGAATTAACGATGTACTAGTGAGTTTCCATTTCTTCAGGGTTGCAGTTTGCTTCTTTTAACCTGATCTACCTCGACCTGGTGTACAGGTTGCACTGAATATCGCTCTAGTTTATTGTAGAGGTAGATAATTACCCAGAATTACTGGCCACAGTATTCATCACTGAACATTGGATGCTGACCCTCACTGTTTAAGTCAACTTGTTTACCTGAAGTATCCAGTCAAGCATCCACGCCATTTGGTACGCAGTCATGTCACATTCGTCCATTCCTGCATGATCCCTAGGTAGTTAAGCAGTCACCTCGCACTTCGATTTAGTTCCGAAATATATCGTAATTTGGACGGTCAACTCTGTTGTTTTGCTTTGCCTTTGGTCTACGCGGAACGAATACTATAGAAGTTGTTGTAAATTAGATCTTGCGTTAGTATACTTATTACTATCCGTGAACGTCAATACCTTCAGCCTCTAAATTATAAAAATGAAATGTAATGCTACTGCCCAAAAGTGTGCTTGGTTGAGATCATTGAGGGATTGTAGAGATACACAACGACAATACACCGCAGCCACTGCGTTTTTGTTCCTTGGAAATCCAATTGTCTGTGATGTGTCCACTTTGAGCTCTACCAGTACATGTGTACAGATGAACACATTGATATTTGAAGGTGAAACTGTTGAGGATATATTGAATTCACGAATTTCTTTGATCTCATGAAGCATCACATGGATTTATCCTATACTGCATGCAAGTGTTTTACATTCCCAATAACTTGTTTAACGAGAGATGAGTCGTGTTGACAAACACTGTTGGAGTGTAGTGCCTACTTCTAATTACTCGTAGAGGTCAGTTATACCCTTCATGGATCCATAGCAATTATGAGAAATTTTGTCATTCGAACATCCAGTATTTAGTCCCCATACTGAAGTGCATCCTCTGATTTTATGGAAGGATATTTTCATGTTATTACAGAACAGAGTGAATATAAAGCCTTCTCACACAGCTAAAAATGTAATAATAATAATTTGTATTTCGTATAAGCGGCTAAGTTGACAAGAAATGCATGCCATTTTTACAGGTACGATCAGTAATGTTATAAAGTAAAATCCTGAAGTATCATAAATTACTTTTTGTTCAGTTATTGTACAAGCAATCAGAACAAATTCTTACAAATGTCAAATTGTAAACTGTTTACTAAGGTCACCATCAAAGTTGAGCGACAACCCAAACTTCGTTCCGTTTCCTGCTGATAATTATGGTCAACCAGTGAACAGCGTGTATCTGGGTGAGTGCTATGCCGCCACGTGATTGAACGCTATTTCAGGAAAAGAAGAAAATTCTGCGCAGCTGCAAAATGGTATAAAATGCAATTATGAATGATGCATCATTGGAAGTATATTTACAAGATAAATACAAGAAGAAGAAGAAGCGAGGTATCACTTGAAATGATAGTATACACCTGCAATGTTTAATGCTAACCATATTGGTCTAAGCATGGAAATTATAACGTATTTCAATGTTTTCGACGAAGTTATAGCTTCGTTCAAACATTGGTGTTGTTGTGTTTTTAATCAAAGCAATCCGACATTGGGCAAGCAACAAATATGAACAAAGAGCAAGTTTTGGCTTTAATAAAGGCCTAGGTAGTTAAGATCAGATAGAGTATAATAGTGCGTAAATAAAAAGATTATTGTGAGGTAGGTAAGTGATATTTAAGTGAGGAATGAATTCAAAGATCTGGAAAATTAGAACCCGTAGGACAAAGTGGCCTGTAAGATGCCTCACGAATTTCTGTAGGGCCCAATGGGTAGCATCTTGACAAGAAGCTGAACAGGCTTGTAGATGGTAGGAGTAAGAGCACTTTTTTATAATTTAGATCTGTACAACCCTTATTATTTTTTGGTTGAGGGTCCAGACTAATGTTTAATTCTCTAGCTGTCAAAAAAATGCATGTTGCTGTCCTACAGATCGCAGAGATTAACATTTGTGACCACTACCATATCTGCTGATCAGCAGTAATAATAAGGAATTTACTAGAAAAGGATTTATATAGGCATGAGTTTAATCACGCTGTATTCTATTCACTTTAAGGTCAATTACACTACAAGAGATATCTCCCGCTTGTGCAACATTCGAGAGTACGACTGCAGTTGATATAATTTAAGATGAATTATATCGCCAAGATGTTTTACTTTGAATGTTAAATAATGTAACAAAACAGGATCTCTTAAGGTGAACACTAATTGTACCTCGACCAAAATTTAAGGCGAGAAAATGCATGTGTATTCTGAATACGAAACAGTCACATAAAAGCAAATTAAAGAACAAGGCCTAGGCGAAATTCTATCCATATCGTACAAAGAGTTGTTAGATTATTATATAATCAGTGGATATTGGATCTTTTTTATCTCTGAATTTGATACAAGAATCCTAATTTAGCGAGGTAACTTGGAGAAAAGCAAGTTTAGCATTTCTACTGGTTGAATCACACAGTGTTATACAGTAATATTAACTGATGACGTTTCGAGCACAAACTATTGCTCATAATAATTCCAAGTCACTCACACAACTTTTTCTTCATTTGTATACATGAGTGGAATTGATTAGACATTTGAATAAAAATCAACTTGATATGATTATGAGCAATAGTTTGTGCTCATAACGTCATCAGCTAATATTACTGTACAACACTGTGTGATTCATCAAAATAAAATCTCATCCATAATGGAGTTATGCTCTACCACAGTGCCCAAGTTTTATACTTATATATACTGGTTGAAGTTTGAAGTGGATCAGTTCTCTAGGTCGTGAGTAAGCGGGAGATAGCTGTTTAATTTATGATACTTTATTTTGGTTGTTGTATTTGCCTGTTTTAGGCGTTTTTAATTGCTTCAATTAGGAATATGTGAAACATCCTTTTTAGTAGTGAGTTGCTTCTAATGCTGAGTATAATGTACTCTTTTTATGTTATAATGTACTCGAATTACAACCCAAATAAAACTGTTGCTTCTTTTTTGGGGAAATTTGGAAGGTTTTCCGGGTTCAAAAATGTATCATTCCCTCAGAGTTTCCCTAAAATTTTTTATCTGAGAAGCATGGGTCATGGATTTCAATCCGGACAGTTTTAAGTCCTAAATCCTGCATTGTACAATAAATCGTTACACAGTGTTATCTAACTTAGTACTTAGCGGATCTTATACGCCGAATGAAGCCGTTTCTAGGTGAGTCTAAGTGGTTTAATTTAAAGCCCAAAACTAATAACCCCAGTAGGATGTATGGTGTTGTTAAAGTTCATAAGTCAGGATACCCTATTAGGCCTATAGTTGATTTTAGAAATTCACCTACTTATGAACTATCTAAATATTTAGCCATGGTATTAAATCCCCTAAAAATCCACTCGGAATCTAGACTAACTAATTCTTATGAACTCAAACATAGATTAGATAATTTAAAATTAGATAACGAAGAGAAAATGGTTAGTTTTGACATAGTCAGTTTATACACACGTATACCAATAAATATGGCTATGCAGGCAGTCAGAAACGAACTCATTTCTGACCAAGAACTCGAACTTAGGACAAAAGTGCCACTTGAGGACATAATGCTGGGAGTACAGCTATGCCTGACTTCCACAGTATTTAAATTCCAAGGGAAAATATGCAAACAAACTGAGGGAGTTTCCATGGGATCACCAATATCCCCAGTGGTAGCAGATATATTCATGGATATGTGGGAAAGCATAGCGATTAAAACGTTCACCCCCACCCCAAAAGTATGGTGGAGGTACGTAGACGACACATTCACTGTACTTAGAACACAAGATATAGATAGGTTTTTCGAACATATCAACTCGAAGGTTGAAGCAGTTCAATTCACTTATGAATTGGAAAATCAGGAAGGGGAGCTCCCAATGTTAGATTGTAACGTAAAGAGGAAAGAAGATGGGAAGGTAAACACTAGTGTTTACAGGAAACCCACACACTCCAACAGATATTTAGACTTCCGATCGTCCCATCCTATGTCAGTAAAAATAGGATTGGTGAAATGTTTAAATGACAGAGCACAAAAATTAAGTAGTACCAGAGAAAATCTAAAACAGGAACTGATACACATAAAAGAAGCCTTAAAACTTAATAATTACCCGGATAAGTTAGTCAGGAAATATGTAAGGAAATGTAAAAATAAAATAAATAATGATAGTAGCGATAGTGATAACAACAATAATAATGATAATGATAACAGTGATAATAATAATAATATTAATGACGACACCAACAATAAAGAATCTAAATCATCAGTAGTAATTCCATACAAGGAAGGAACCTCGGAAGCCTTACGCAGAATTCTTAACAAGGCAGGAATAAAAACGGCATTCAAACCCACAAACTCAATTAGAAACAAGCTTTGTCGGTTAAAGGATCCTGTAGAGCCTTTAAAACAAAACAATTTAGTTTATCTAATACCCTGCAATGATTGTCAGGTCAAATACATAGGTCAAACTAGTAGAACAGGGGCAGTCTGACTAGCTGAACATAAAAACTTGGCAAAATCTAGATTGGTTGACCCGAATAAGATAAGAAATCTAGAGAATAGTTCAGCTATAGCACTACATGCAGTCACACACAACCATACAATAGGATGGGATAGGATGACAGTTTTAAAATCTAATGTCACAGGGTGGAGGGAGAGATTGATAACAGAAGCTTTGTTTATTGAATCAACTACAAATACATGTAATAGGAATGATTCATCACCTGTCCCGATATCTGGAAAATTCTACTACCCCAGCGACAAATAGGAGAGGACAAAGAAAACTATAAAACTCAAGTTTCGAAGTCGTGTGATTATAATTTATGAAATGATTATTAACAATAAATTTTGTTCGAAACGTCATCCAGTAAATAATACTGTTTCACTGTGTGATATACCTGATAAACAAACTAATATGGAATTACTTACTACCACAGTGTCCAAGTTTTACACATATATTAACTTAGTACGTAATCATATTGTGGCACCAGGTCACAAAAATGTAGAGCGTATGTCGATTTATACTTTTTAGTTCACTACTTCCATCTGATCGTGAAGGTACATAAGTATGTATGTCATAAGAAGTAATCACAAGATGAGGGAGGGTTTAAGGGGTTTTCTTTATCATTATCTATTAACATATAATTATAATTATTCAAAATAACTGTTTTGGTTTCAAGTGTATATAAATTTTAAAAGTATAAATGAGTTAATTTTGATTGGACACTAGGTAGTAACTAGTGTCATTCGTCTAGTCCTTCGTTCGCTGCACAGTGAATTCTATCAGTCAGGTTTGCAGTGTGGACACCGTTATAGGTGGCTCGTCATCACGGTGGACACTGAATGGTTATTAGGTGTTTGGCTGGCTGTCGAATGCCTCCAATCGTCGAATAACATGACTGAGTTTAATATGAAATATTCAGATTCAGATTTATTGGTTGAGGATAGAAGGCTCGGAGCCTATATTAATCCTTTTCTAGTAAATTTCTGTGGTTGTCCAAGCCGTTATTGAGTGAATCAGTTGAGGTTGCAGACACCACTTCTTCTGAGAGTCAGTTCCAAGAGTTTATGACTCGGTGTGAGAACCAGTTCTCAACAGCAATATGATTTGATATAAGTATAAAACTTGGGCACTGTGGTGGAGTATAACTCCATTATGGATAAGATTTTCTTTTGATAAATCACAGTATGATACAGTAATATTACTATATAAGACTGTGTGATTTATCAAAATAAAATCTTATCCATAATGGAGCAATATGATTTCCTTTTTTGGCTTTTGAACTCTCCTGCTATGTCTTCTAAGGTGTTCCAACCTGGTGGGAAGGAAAAGAGAGAATAGGTCAGGTCCGTAGTCATTATTTAAAAATTTAAACATGGTGATTAAATCTCTCTGCCTACGGTATGGCAGGGAAATGAGATTTAAACTGTCTAGTCTTTCCTCGTAGGATAAGTTAGTCATGCCGAGAATCATACGTGTTGCCTTCCTTTGGACCCTTTCTAGAATATGTGAGTCCCCTTTAAGACAAGGACTGGCTGCCTGGATACATTTTTCCAGTCTTGACCTCACCATGGATGTATATAAGGAGGCGAACATATCTCTCTAGTAAAGGCTCTGCAAATTGCCCATAAGGATCTGAAACTACAAGCAGCCACCGCGCAACAGTGTGCAGTAGTTTTTAAATCGTGACTAACTATGACACCTAAATCCCAATGAGTCTGAACTGATGGGAGTGTTATTCCTTCTAGTTTGTGGGAGCTGATGCTTGTTTGTCCGATGCGCATGGTTGCACATTTTGCTGCATTGATCGGGAGCATCCATTCTGTGAACCACTCCGACAATTTGTTGAGGTCCTCTTGCAACGTGAGCGTGTCACTGTTGCCCTTCAACTCCCTCCAGATTTTTAAGTCATCTGCGTATAGGGTCATGGGAGAATCGGTGAGCAGAAATAACTCATTGATATACAAAATAAATAGAAGAGGTCCGAGTACCGTGCTCTGTGGCACTCCGCTACGCACTGCTGTCCAAGAGGAAAGTTTCGAGTTGATCCTAACCCTCTACCTCCTATCTATGAGGAATTCCCTAATCCAGTTTTGTAAGCTTCTTTGATACCAAGACTTTCCAACTTCATGAGTACTCTCTTGTGAGGAGCTTTATCGAAGGCTTTGCTGAAGTCTATGAAGACGACGTCAACAGGTCTTCTGTTGTCCCTTGGTTTGACCCAGCTTTCTCTTGCAGTGGGGAGATTTGACAGACTTGAGAAGTTTCCTCGAAAGCCATGCTGTGCTCTGGATAACAAATTGTTTTCCAGATATGCCATGATACTTTTCTTGATGATTATTTCCAGTGTCTTGATTAAAGTGCTGGTAAGGCTAATAGGCCTATAATTTGAAGGGATTTGTCTTGATCCTCCTTTGTGGATGGGGGTTACTATGGAGTCTTTCCAGTCCCGCGGTAACACTCCATTTAGGAGAGATAGCTTGAAGATCGTGGTCAAAGGGCCGGCTATGTGAGCTGATAGCTCCTTGAGAAGTCTTGGACGAAGATTATCAGCACCCATTGATTTCCCTGCATCTAGTTTCATTAGGCAGTTGAGCACGATACCTTGGGCGATGTCAACGGATTCTATCCCGTGTTCCTGTGATGCGGCCAGAGCTGATCCTATGGGGAGTGACGACTCCTGTGTAAAGACTTGGGAGAAGTAGTCTGCCATTGCTTTTGTTTTTTCTTGATCTTCTTCGATTGTGTCATTGTCAGTAGTCAGGTTTGGGACACCATTGGATGATTTATTCCTGAAGTCCATGTAGGAGAAAATTTTCTTAGGTTGCGCCTTTGCATTTTGAGCCAGATGTGCTTTGAACTTCATCCTTGATTGGCGGATTTCTGCAATAGCTTTTTTCCAGCAGTGTTGTATAAATTCCTGGTCTCAAGAGTCTCAAGTGTGGCAAACAGGTTCCAACATTTGTGTTTACGTCTGAGTTACTTACGAATCTCCCGGTTTATCCAAGGGGAGGGGAATGTTTCTGACCCTTTGGGACAGACAAAGGGATGAAATGTTCGGTTATTTGGGCGTAAAGTTGTTTAAATTGGTTCCATGCGGGTTCTACGTGGGACTCTGGGTTGATGTATCAGCTCACTTAGTTGGCTGCTGGGACGATTGCATTTATATCAGCTTTCCAAACGTTTGGTCGAGCTGGAGTTTTGGCCCATGATGCTGCTGTGAACTTGAAAGGGAGCCCAGCGTGATTACTTCTTCTTAAGCTGTGTATTATGCCTGATACTGTTTTTGGCAGTAGCTTATCTAAAAGGGGCTTGACCAAGTTATGATCATGCTCGAACCTGACTTTGGGATCGGAGGCCGGTGATTCTTCCACTTTGTGGAGAATGAGCGACCTGTCAGAGAGATCAGGTTTGCTTGCCGTGGCTTTATCGCTCTGCGGCGTAAATGTCTTTCCATCCTTCATGGACAGTGTGGCCAATATCTCGCTTTTTGCGAGATACTACATTCACTGGCGTCCTCCTCGCTAATCGTAGTCGGTTTTATCTGCCTGCTATTCACCAGTGTGGACGAGACTTGATCTACAAGTCCCTGGTTGACTTGAGCTTCTGGTTTCCGACCCCTGGTACGCCTCTTCTTCGTGCCAGTCTTTCCATTACTGTCACTGGAGGGATTTTCCGGTATCGTAGGGTGCTCTTCTGTGCTGAAGGGCACTCACTCCCTGACAGAGATGCATCAGGAACGTGTATTGTTTTGTCGATGACGGTAGTCATGTCATCGGTGTCTGAGAAGTAGTCGGTCTTCTTGCAGTCCAGGAGCTTTAGAGCCCCACTGAGTGGCAATGTTTTCCATTATACGAAACTTAGTCGTACTACAGCAGTCATTGCACAGCCAGTTCGCAAGAGGTTTGCAGCAGCGCTTGTATGCTGCAAGAGTTAGGTTTGTGCACATGCTATGAAACCATCTCTTGCACTCCTTTTTCAACTAGAAATTGGCACATAACTCTTCCACAGCGGTTCCTTTTGATAGGCATGGTTTTCAGAGAGAATTGGGGCAAAAGGATTGAAATATAACTTTTATATATATGACCTTTATAAATCAGTGATAAAAAAACCAATGAGTGCACAAAAATGGATATATATAAATATGACTATTAAGTTATAAGAACACAACTTCCTATAATTAAACAGACTCAAAACTGAAACGTAAACTAACTTCGATCAGAATAAACTGATTTAAAGTTAATCTATAGACTTTTGGAGCGTATAACACAACAAAAGCCAAAATTAAACAAAAGCGTGTAAAATTCACTCCCATTTTCAAAGTTCGCGGTTACGTAATATCTTGCACTTCGGCTAAAATAAAATGCAATGTGTTAATAAAATCATTGAAGCTATTACAGCCTTCTCAGATTTTTCACTTTATTTTCAAAGAACAAACATCCTAATCGGTGAAGCTAGGATGACTGGTTGCATTAAGGCATACCAAGTCATCATGTTAAGACGATGGCTAGAAAACTTCAGCAGCTTTACTCTTATTGTAGTTACTGGGTCGAGTGGTAGCTCGTAATGATTGTTGATCATTCGGTGACTTCACTACAAGTCTGTAGTGCTTATTAAGTACCAAATATCAGATACTTTTAACCGTTAAAAGAAGTAATTTTAGTCTACATGGTTCACTATTGTGAAACATACTCGTTTGTAATACATGCGATATAAGTAAATACCGAGAGCAAACCCTTACGTATGTATAGATCATGCTGGTTTATAATCCATCATTCACGTTGACCCGATGTATTGGTACGCATTACTACACGATATGCTGCAGTGATTTTTAGTAGACTCAGTCTAGTTATCCACTGAAAAGTGGTTTTTAAATCTGTTGGAATGTAAAAGTTCGACCAGTACACTGACAACCAAGTTACATAAATAGTTTGGCACATTTAACGTGTTTAAATAGTTTTTGAGCGTCTTTCATGCTAACTAAACACAAATTATTGATTGTCACAAACTGTAAACTTGTATTTTTTACTATTGTAAGTTTAATAATGACCATTTTATTCCTAGATTTAGTCGTACCTACTTTTGTCTTGTGAATGGTAGTCAAAATGTGTTTTTATTTTCATGTTTATCACAGAATCTCCGCTTTGATTGATTGTTTATCGTTCGCTGATTTTCTGGTTCGTGTTAAATAATGTAATGGATTCATTTCTGAATAGCGCAACTGCTGCTCTAGTAAGTCATTTACTCCACCCCTACTATTGTATTTAATAAATGCACTGAAACCATTTTTTGTTTTTCAATACATCTTTTTCCTTTGGTTCACATTTACAGCGTTCTGGTTGTTCTAGCCAGTGGCTTCTTGTAGTTGGAAATGAAGCATGTGATTTAGATAGTACAGCGTGTGCTCTTGCCTATGGATTTTATAAACAAGCGGTAAGTCAACTTTCTGTAGTCGTTCCTTTTCTTACAGAATTGTTTAGATGCTTGGAAATGAGTTCACTGTTATACCTGTATGCAATATCAATAGAGCAGATATGATTTTACGTACAGAAGTCACTTTTTGGTTAACGCAATGTGGTTTAAAATGGGAAGAATTAATTTATGTCGATGATTTGTTCAGTGGAAATCAAGCAACAACACTTAATGAAAATCAAGCATCTCTTATACTTGTTGATCATCATTTGCCAAGTGAAAAATTTAGCGAATTGCCAATTGTGGAAATAATTGATCATCATCAGCAGCAAATAACAAATAATCAAATTGTTGAAAATTGTCCTTTCAAACAAATCGATCTTGTCGGTTCGTGTTCAAGTCTAGTTACCTTGGAAATTTTAAAGGGAATCGATGGAAGCGAACTGCCAGTCAGTGTATGGAAATTACTTTATGGTATTTGCATCATTTTTTTTAAAATATTAACCTTTTTCTTTTAGGCGCTATACTGATTGATACAATTGGACTTTCTAGTGCTGGTCAAACAGCTGGACGTTTAACTGAATTAGATTATCGTATGGCTTGTCGTATTGAAGATATTATTTGTGATCAATTATTTACGCCTAGTATTTCTAGAAATACATTGTTTACACAATTGGAAGCAGCAAAATTTGATGTTCAAGGTAGATCTGTTTTTTTTTGTGTATGACTTAACGGTTTATGAATAATTTGGCCTTCTTTTTTTTGTAAAAATATTATCTACAATGATGACGAGTTTATTGTTGTATAAAACACAAAATAATCGAGCAAAGAATATTCTTTTCGATAAATTCCTCTGCTCCTGTGGAGCCAGTTACATAGGCCGTACAATTAGGCGTGTTTCTCGTCGAATTTCCGAACATCACCCTGCCTGGTTAAGCAAAGGACAAACAAAATCTATTCACAGCGCTATTCTGTCTCATCTTGTGGAGACAGAACACAAGATTGACGTTAATCATGCTTTCAGGGTCATTTACCGCATACCTACGAATCTCAATTTTGCTTTAAGAGTTCGACTACTAAATATTGCTGAGGCTGTGGGGATCCATATTAACAAGCCTAATTTATGCATCCAAAAGAAGTTAGTTCAGTCATTATCATTACCTTGGCCATCCAGGTTTGAATAATCCGGAATTTTTGTGGAATTTTCCTAATTTTAGTTGATATTCTATTCGCTATTATATCTTTATTATTATTATTATTATAATTTAAGCATCTTTAATGAACTGTAATTGCATTGATCTTACTTTACAAATCGATATTATTTAAAAAACACTAATATTGTTATTAACTACTAATCTAGAATATTCTGTGTATATAAACATGCATATATAATTGTAGAGCCGGAAGAGGAATTTATCGAAAAGAATATTCTTTGCTCGATTATTTTGTGTTTTATAGATGTCTGAATGAATATTTTTGCTTTATTGTTGTAATCGACCAGGTTGTTTATTAGACTTTAAGTAAGTGAATCAGTCACTTTCGTTGGTCAAAAATGGGCATATTATGGGGTTTGTGACTAATTTGGTCGTGTCTTACATCTGATCCGAAATAAATATTTCTCATTTCGTTCATTTCAAAACTAGGAAATCTTAGCAGTCAATATGTTTTCCTGGAATTATGAGCAGTCATAAAGTAATTTTAATGAACAGATCACACTTCTGTTATATATACTTAGCAATGAAGCGTTATATTTGTTAGATACTGGACAAGTTGACTTCTTCTTGTGGTGCCTAAAACAGAAGGAATAGTAGTATTGCATAACCACAGAGCCTATGGGACAACTGTTTGAGTTCGGTCGCACACATCCTGTTTGAAGTGATTTTTGGAGTTGTGTCCGTATTAATATCCTACCGCCGGTTATGGACCGCCGCAAGATTAGTCGGGATGTACATTTTCCGGTTCGATCTTTTTTAATCTCTCTTCTCCAGAGTGGAGTGGCAGCATAGTTGGCATGCTGGTCATCTGAGGTTAACACCTTACTGCTGCTACGTCTCTGTTCTCCAGCAGTATGACTTCTCTCACAGACCCTGAAGATAATGTACAAAAGTTGAACTATGATGGCAACTGATTTTAGTCTAATCGCTATCCAAAAGACCTTTCCGGCATGGTAGGAGCCGCAGGAACATTAGTTGCCACGATATGCAAACCCAACTATCATGTCAAGGCAGCAGCCATCAGTAGAGGGTGAGGAAGTTAATTTCCGAGGTGTGATTACATTTGATGAATAGAAATTGCAAGAGGATTAAATTTCGATTCTTCCATTCTACGCAAAAAAGGAACACTTACAAATTTCCTTGACTGACAGAAGTTATAGTTTGTAGTTGAAAAGTGTAGTCATGACAATATTTCACCTAACTATCGGATAAATGTTTCTGTATATTTTATGTTTGCTCTCCGGTTTGTAGATTTGTCGAGCAGAAATGTTTTTTTGTTTTATTAGTTTATAGATTTTTAGAGATTATGTGTGTGCGCTTACCATTAAAGTGCGTCACATTTTTTTGTGACTCAAAGATTAAGAAGATATTGATTAATGACACTGACTTACTTACTATCATTGCTTTAGTAGTAAACAGGTTTGAAGATTTTCGAAAATGTTTGTATTGTTAACCGATCGCCTAGAATTTCATTAGTTTCCAGTAGTTTTTAATCACGTCGCTGTCTTATAGCATTTGTTAAATCTTAATTAGGACTTATCTTTTATGTGAGTCTATTTCAAGCACATGTTTTAGGATGACGGTTAACTCCGTTGATCAAAGTGTGCTATGGTATGTATCTTTGAAGAAAACTTCATGGCGAGGTATGCCAAGTGGGTGAAGCCGTAGATTGTTTGGCAGTGCATGCTATTTCATATGACAATGGCTTGAACACTGTGTTTTCGTTTTTTAATATTTATAAAGCTCTGGTTTGACTGTTCGTAATCATTCCATAGCTTTGTCCCAAGAATAGGTAACAAAAAGTCAAAACTTTTACAACAGATAAGCTGATGTTCGAAAATTATTTCTAGTGAGGCAGAATTCAAAAATAAGGGCATATGATAATAACAAAATGTAGAGAAGTTTTTATTTCAAGCTTAGTACTTATTAGTTAAATACGAGTTAGTTAACTTACTGTTATTTCATTTAGTTCCACCAACGCTTGTTCAACGCTTCATCGTCTTTGATTCGAATTACTAAATTTATGACTGGAAGAGTTGGTTAGGTAGCTAGTTTGGTGATATTCAACTAACTGTTATGTATCGTTGAGAAAAACCTCCGTTAATTGGAATGAAATTTAGAACTAGTTTTTGCCTTCGCCTGAGGATGCTAGGAATCGATAGTTTGAGGCCTTTAGTGACATGGCTCAAAGTCGTTTGCAGTACCGCAGATGTATTCACTCCGTGTGGTCTTTCATACTATAGAAGTCACTATTACTACAGTTTGTGCGTCGGTGGCATAGCGGTTAGGACGCTCGCCAACCATGCATATGGTCCGGGGTTCAATCCCCAGCCGACGCACTCCTTTACCTCGCTAAGCCAGAAATAATGCTGGTGAAGAGGAAAGGTTGGGCATGAGGCTAGCAATCCCATCCTGTGAAATAAACATTGCTACAGAAACTTCAAGCCGCTAGCTTGAAGCCCTATGTTCCACTGGGGAACGTGAAGGAAAAAAAATTACTACAGTTTAGCACAAAGTTCTATGCTGATAATTCGTTTCAAATTTCAATTCTTAATTTATCAGTGTTCTAGTTTTATGTCAACTCCTAGATTAAAGATAGGGAGTGAAGTGGTTGAGAGTGTTGACCGCCTTACTGTTGTATCAATCCTAATGGACTGGTTGCTGATAAGATCTCAGCACAAATACAAACGTCTCGTGTGAAATTTGCCAACTTACGTCATCTCTGGCGTAGACGTGATATCCGGCTATCGATTAGAGGGTGTGTATACTGCTTGGCATTTCACTCTGTCCTTCCTTTTTGTCTGTGAGACATGACCACCGAAAGCTGACGATATGAAAAAACTAACTGTCTTTGATCACAACTGTTTGCGTTCTGTTTCTCGTGTTAATTAGTATAATATGGTGAGCAATATTGAGGTTAGCTGTATAGTGTTAGGTAAGGAAGAAAAGTCAATCGATGAGGTTGTAAAGCTACATCAATTGAGACAGCTAGGAAATGTGCTGCATATTCCGAGCCACCCCATTCCTCGACGAGCAGTGTTAGTATCAATCTACCAATGCACATCTCTCTCAGATAACCTCACCGCGCATGTGTTGATGTCACTTTGTAGATAGGACGGTGTTTACACCATTCTGAAAAGGATTAAGGATCAATTAAAATGGAATAAACTCTCACCAAGAGGATACTCTGCTAATTTTATTACGGCAACTTATTCCGATTTTCTCATTATAGCTCTCAATATAAGTCATACCATTCTTAAGATTTTTGTAAAGATTTGTAATCTGGCATATAACTTTACATCAACAGATTAAATGATTGAAATATGTACGAGGTTGTATTCGATGATATTTTTAAAAAGATTTCATCATAGTAGTGATGAAGTCTTGAGACATCATTTGATTTCCTTGGGTTTTTCCATTTCTTTGCATTCCAAGCGGAGCACGAAGCTTCAAGCATTGAGCTTTAGAGTTTCATTGGCAGTGATGTTATATTTTCTTTGCAAGGAGGGATTGTTAACCTCGCGCCAAACCTACCTTTTTTTCCGGGCTTTACTACCTACCGGTAGGTAGTAAACCAGGTGAGGTTTAGAAGGGCGTTGGTTGCGAATCGAACCCTGACCACGTGTGTGGCTGGCTTAGTATTCAGCCATTGAATCATAGGATTTATCGTATTCCTTACATATTTGTAAATTATTTTCAACAGGTTTATCTACATGGGATTTGTTACGTCGTGATATGAAAATTGCTTCAAATCCAGATAATGACAAATGTCGAATTGTATGTTCCACTGTCTCTGGAGTGGATTTTCAAGTGAGTCATAGTCTTCTATTTTGAGGGTAGTAATAGTTCTCAGCGTAATTATTATAACAGACTAGCATTTGAATTCGTTGCTGTACACTGCATTTTAAGTCATGATATATATATACATATTTTGCCCCGGTGGTTGAAACGATGCATCCTAGATACGTGAAGGAAGTAATCTCTGTTAAATCTCTCCCTTTGATGGTGATTGGTGCTGGCTGTTATTGCTATTGGTTGGTTGGTTATCGTCATCACCTCTGTCTTCGCTGCTTGCTTCTTCAACCAATTTGCTGGTTTTCGCCTGAAAGTCTTCGAGTCTGTGTGACATTAAACATAAATCACCCATGAAATCCAGGTCATCTAGAGTCTCCTTATCGGTCGTCCAGCGTATTCCTGTCTTCTTGCTACCCACAGTCTGACGCATAATCCAGTCCACCACAATTAGGAATACCATTGGTGATAAAAGGCAGCCCTGTCTTACTCCTGTACTCACTTCGAACGCCTCACTAAGTTTTCCGTTTTGGATCACCTGACACGTGCCACTGTCATATAGCTGTTGAATGAGGTTGATAAAAAATTGGGCACTACAGGCCATAGTGTTGAAACAATTTCCAAATTACTTCTCGGTCAACGCTGTCTGTCGAGGGCCTTTTCGAAGTCGATGAAGTTGAGGTAGGGAGAGGTTTGACTGTCATTCTATGCTTCGTTTGATGATGATGCGTAGAATTGCAATTTGATCAGCATATGATTTACCTTTCCTGAATCCAACCTGTTCCGGGTTGATGGGGTTCTGTATCCAGTGCATCTTTTATTCTCTCTAGGATGATGCGACTTAGTATGTTACTTGGCATGGAAAAGAGCAGTATTTCACGCATAGCATTGGATAATTGTGACCTTCTTTCCTCCATTTGAGTTAAATTTTGCTGTCATGATCCTGGATGAAACTGGTTCTCATTGCATTAGAGCTTTGGCTGCCACTGGCTCAGTATGCCGGTGGTTGTCGTATGGGTGACCGGAGTAGTTTACTAACTCTTCAGTCAACAATTTTGAGGGTTCATATCCATTCCTTCTGCTCTCGCAGATTCTTAACACTTTCAAGCCGTATTTGGCTTACTGTGCAGCCTTCCCAGCCTCGTACATTGTATGAACATTCCACGTTCCCATTCTTACTTTTGCTTTCATCGAGGGAATACACATTGGCTGGCTGACTGGCTTCCCGAACAATTTCACCAGCCCGTTGTGTCATTTCGCCTGCGAAGAATAAGTTTTTTTATACGTTTTGAATTTTTAGTATTTTTCTTGTGCTTTAAAGTTTCTGTGGCAGTTTGATCGGTTTTGAGGACTAGGGTCTCTAGCCCTACGCTCAACCTTCCGTCTTCACCCAGGCTTGGGACAGGCTAAAAAACCAGCGAGCTAGTAAGCTAGGCGACGTTATGAGAGAGCATAGTCATATTCAAAGCTTCTCACTAAGTCAGCTGTAGGTTAAATACTGGTTCTTTCCCAATAGGAAGTTTGAATTTTAACATTTCAATTAATATATCTTCTGCAAACTTAAGTGAATCGAATTGGTCATTTTGATAGCAACGGTTAATGTCATCATCCAGCGAAAATGTTAGACTGTCAACTCCGTAATCGTATTCAGCCTTCTGAACTGCATTTAAGCAAGTTATTTGTCACTAACGTCTTCGCATACTTATTTTTGCAAATGTACATAAATCAATAGATTGAATTTTAGGTTACATGAAATAGAACTGTCTTTACTTTATTCTGGATTGCTAAACAGTTCACTGTATATGATAGAGACAGTTTCTTTGCAGGGAGTGTAATAAGGCAGTTTATGGCTGTGAAACTTGTCATTAAGAGTGGATAACTTGAAGAAGTTAGCTACCTTTCACCATAGGTGTCTGCGTTCTACTTCACGTGTTAAGTGGTGTAAAATGAGTAATATTGAGCTTAGGTGTTGAGTGTTAGGTAAAGAAAGAAAATCAATGGATGAGGTTGCGAAGCCGACACCTGTTCCACATGTCAAGCTATCGTTCACCTCACCGAGGAATGTTTACTGACGTAAGATCGAGTTGGAGAAGAGTTATGAGTGGTCAAACGCTTAAAAGATCAACAAAAGTTTCGCTATCGAACCACCTGACTCACAGAATACAACAACATTGAGAAGAATCAGTTTGAACCAGGTGGAAGTGTTTGGGACCAGTCACGCGCAACCCATTTCCTTTTTACTGCTAGCTACAGACTACTGTAGGTTAAGGTATTTAATTGTCGAAGCTGGTACTTCCTAACCCCATCACTATGGAGTAGGGAAGCAGCATAACTGGTGTGATATCTGTTTGAGGGAAACACCTTACTGCCGATGCATCTGACACCTGCGTCAGTGTAAGCGACTTTCGCTGTGGTGGTAGTTTTCTAAGTTTTACCTCTATCTATCTTATCTTTCTGGTGATTGGAGCCTGCAGGAATTTGAGTTATGCAAACATGACCACACCAAGGTAACATCTGTCAATTGGCACATGCATAGGATGTGTATCTTTTGCAAAAGATCGATATTGCTTCCGGTGCGATTACTCGCTAGAGACTGCTGAATAACACTTGTTCATCTCTGGATTTTTGCAATTCAATAAAATCATTTGTAATTTTCTATATTATTATACAGAGATCTAAAGTCTCTGTTAACTTTATTTATTTATTTTTTTGAAATCCTTTTGTATTGCAGGTTTTGGCTGGTAGATCCGATTTTGTTGAAGCAGCAAATCGAATGTGTACGGAATATAATACAACCATACTTATCTGTATTACTGTTGGATATCCACCAGGCGACCATTCTTCTGCACCTCCATCTGAGTTAACAGCTTTCCGAAGAAGAGCTGTCATTTTTTACAATATGGATGCTCCTATTCAGTATTATAATGCTGTATGCACTTCTTTTTTTATATCTTGAGTCGTATTTATTCTCGACTTGGTTAAACCATAAGTATACCTGTGCTTTTAATATGTGTGTTACCTTAGGTTAAATGATAATGCTGTGTAGAGTTTTCGATTAGAGATTTTTCGTCACAAACCGATATTATCTATCTATACAGAACTATTGAGAAACAAGGAACTACTGAACAGTTGTTGGGTGCTAAATTGGGAAGTTTTCGATTAGTCTCAAGTTTTTTAAATAAATAATTCAAAGTTTCGAATATGTTCTCCGAAATCAATGCACAAATCCATCTATTATATATTATGTTTATTTTGTCAAGAGATGGTTGAAAAAATGGATCTTTTGAAAGAATTGTTCTTCATTGGCGTAACATTATTCAACTGAAAGCTCTATTTTATTTGTGATATGTATATATATATGAGCCAGGCCCTCGACCGCAACCCTAATGGGAAACAGAAAGTTGGGCCTGAGTCTGAGGGTGACATGGAGGAGGTCGTGTGAAGGGGAAATGAGGGCAGTTGTGGAGCCGGCTAAGAAAGGCTGCAGAGGATTGAAGGGAACAGAAATGTTCTACTGAAGTCCTATGCTCCACTCGAAATTCAAGGGGATATGTATATATATGTCTAATTCACAAACTTTGGTACAGCGTAGGCGATATGAAATACAATGCATAATGTAATATTTATGGCAATATGAGGATGAAAAATTGGTAATAGGTTTGAGTATTGCTTTTGTATTACTTTTTTACAGTACAACATTCTTACACTACTGTTAACTCGGATTACCATTGTGGTATGTATTTCATAGGATTTCAAGTCACATTTACAGATTGTCTTAGATCCCCCTCTATCCAAGAAGTTGTTCACTGATGAATATTAGGTTAGGACGATTATTCTTTCATCTATAGTGGTGCTTCATAAACTGGTCATCTCTTCCTTTCTTTTAGGCGGCTAGCTTTATGTACAATAGTTAGTGAACACTAGGTGAACCGCTTGCATACTTTGAGAAACACATCCATGTTACTGAAACGGCGTTTTAAGGAATGATTATGTCAGAAAATATATCGCTACACTATAAAATTAGTTTTTAAGAAGTCTCTTCTGAAATCAAATACTGCTATGGAGGAAGATATTTGAGCAAACATGGTCGCTGGACACTGACAATTCAGAATGAAAATAAAAAGAAAAATTAGAGTGGCCTGGGGGGTTTCATAATATTTCTCAGTTTTACGTGTGTTATTATAACCACTCAATGTTATTCTTTAACTACAAAATGAATAGATAGGCAAATCTGACGTATTGCGAGAAGACTATCTCAACTAAGCATTAACGCGTCAATAATCATACACTTCTGTTTCGGCTTAATTACACCTATTTTTGTTTTCTAAGTATGGTTTATAATAAGATCTGTTCTTGAACTAAAGAAATTCACCCTTGTTCGACTAGCAGTACATGATTGTAAGACTTTTTGAGTAAGTAAGTATATGAATATGGTGAGAAAAATTGCGTGAAATTATGCTTGATTGTTGTGTAAGTAGTGGACTTCCAATCAAATAAGCCGTATTTTCGAGCTCCATTACACTGACTGAGATTTCTCGTTGATAAGTGGTGGTATTGTGGTGAGAGCTGTCTGCAAGACAAAATTGTAGACAACAATTCCCGTCAATGTTTACGTCCCATATCTTGGTGATGGGAAAAAAAACAAGAACAAAGCCTAACCTCGAGGAATTCAACAGCCAATCACAGCAGACTTAGCGTGGGCGGATACGATTAGCAGATATATCAACGGACAGAATAACCTTCAGCAGGAAAACAACCAATCAGAAGACTTTACCTCTCTGCTAACAATAACGCTAATAATAATGTACATAGAAATCTATAAATATCTGTTGATTTTCTCAATAAACGATCTGTTGCCTGGCCCTTGTCTTCTGTCGTTACAGTATCATTAACCCTCATACAGTAGGTGTGACATACTTACTGTGTTGCTTTTTGTGATAAATTTATAAAGTCTTGGTTTGCTGGGATTTAACTGATTTCAAGTTAGACAACAAATAAAAACCAGGGAATACTGGACAGCTGTTTCATCCCAGTTTGAGATTCTCTGGCACCCTCGATCCTATTGGGAATCGGACTCAAGACCTTCAGATTACCAGGCAAGCCTGTTGACCACTAATCCACTGGAACGGAATCCAATGTCACTACCACCAGCCAAATGTCATCAGCTAATATCTATCCTCATAGTGGAGTCGATGGACTCCACTGGTCATTTCTTCTCACTAGAACACCAGAAACTCTATCCTATAGTCAGTCATTAATGAGTCTTGATCTTCAGAGATTTGGTCGGCTTCAAATTAAGTGCCAGACTTTGACGAAACAGCTGTCTAGTACTTCCTGGTCTTTAATGATTCTCTAAATGCTTTCATTTTTACGATCTACCAAGAATTCGTTGAATAACCGTTGTTTTATTTTTTTGTCGGTCTACAAAAAGGTCTAAAATATTCTTGAAATCATGTGTTGATCGCATTTTAATCCCTTCCGCTAATAAATCTTTCATTCACTTTCCTTCTCCTGTTTTTGTTTTTCTATTTTTCTATAGTTACTTCAATATTTTCTTGATCCAAAGCATAATTTACAGTTAGTGCCTCAATCTATCCCGGGATTTAATCATTTCACCGCAATTGTCAATAATATCAAAGTTACACGGAAAACTGTATTGCCTTTATTGATTCACTTCCTACAACAATCCGAATCATTGGAAAATACTAAGACAACATTAGTGGATAATAGTCGTAAAAATGACGAGCATAACAATAATGATGATGACAATAACAATAATAATAACAAGCCTATGGAGGATAATAATCAGTCAGAAGAGAATACTAAGCGTTCACAGTCACCTGATACAAATCTTAAGGTGGGTTAAATCTTGTTTTATATGTATATCTGGATATAGACAAGCAAAAACCCAAAGAACTCTAGTAGCCATTTCGCCTCTGTTCTAAGGAACTGATGCTCTTTCTTTCTTTCTTTTGTGATATATAGATGCTCAATAATAAGATAAAAAGTGATATTTTTGGATAAATTTGTGTTTTTTTGGTATCATTTGATGATTAAGGGCTGTTAAATATTCCTGGAGATTGCTAGTCGTTGACTCTACTTCCAAGTCGCTAGAGGTCCTAGGTTCGAATCTCACTCCACTTACTGGAGCCTGAGTTACTAACTAGGAGGTTCCATCAACTCCCTTACATAGTAGGTATGGGTCATAGCTTGGCATTGTTAAATATTTAGGAAAATATCAAGTTGAGTATCTTGAAAACTATGCTTAACTTGGTTTGTTAGATATCGACTAAACCTAATGTCGTGATTCTGGCACTGACAAATCAATCATTAAGAAGAAATAGATAAAGGGTAAAGTATTGGTTTTGTAACCAGAAGGTCCTGGGTTCGAACCCCGGTGGGTGTGTACTGATGAAGAGTCCCAAACTATGACGAAACAGCTGTCCAGTACTCCCAGGTGGTTTTCCAATGGTTCTCTAACTGATGTCAGCTCATGATGAAATCCTCCATGCAATCAAAGGGTAAAGTGATGACATCTTTGTATTTGCACAACTTTAGAACATCCTAATGGCTACCTGTGGTTCAGTGGTAGAATGCTGCTTACCTACGCTGGAGGTCTGGGTTTGATTTCTGCAAGACACACTCCTAAACTTTCATGTACTTTACTATAGCTGGTTATAAACCTGGTATAAAGAAGGGGTTGGTTGTGGAGCTAGCAACCCCGTCGCGTAAATATAACACCACTGCTGAGACTTCAAAGTTTAAAGAGCCTTATGTCTCTTTTGGAATTTAAGGAGTTGAAAAAACAATGACTTCAAAAATCGATAAAAAGTATAAAATCATGTGGCGGACTAAATGTAGTTGTGTATTGCTTTATGAAATCTGTCTATTCAGCGTTTGTTTTAAAATTGGACGGATTAGTGTAACTTTTGGTTATTTGTAAAAAAAGTACTTTGATATTGATCGTATAAACTAAACCGCTAAAGGATTTTTAGGTTATGGTTGTTTTAGGGACCTGGATTAATTTCGTCACAAACCAGCATGAGTTAGAGACAACTGAAAATCACGGAGCACTGGACAGCTGTTTCGTCCTATTTTGGAACTTTTCGGCAATGCGCACTGACGGCCCCATCGGGAAAGGAACCCGGGACCTTCAGGTTACGAGATCAAGCTCACAATTTGATAAATTTAGAATTCACAGGTCATTGAATTCCTGCCTAAGGGGCTAAATAGTCAGTGAGCTTGTTCTTTTATCCTGAAGGTCCTGTATAGTGTGTGCACACCGTTGAAGAGCTCCAAACTAGGACGAAACAGCTGCCTAGTGCTCCCTGGTTTTCAATGATCTCTAACTGAGTTAGTTCGTGGTGAAATCTACATTGATACTAAAGAATGTGTCTCAGTGTGATCATTGTTGCTGCTGTTTGGAATCAATTGCCTGGAACAGGCTATAAACTACACAGTTATTATGTGATGGCTGATGATACTACCCAGTTGTCCAAGTTCAATTAAGTGTGGAATGGGATTCGAACCCGTGACTTACTAGTTGGAAGCCGAGTGCTTAAGCCAATAATATTTACATCTGACTACTTATGTCAGTCGATCAGCAGTATATTATAGCATCATGCTTTCTTCATTACCATGTATCCTATAAAGTAGATAATACATATTGTGGTTATCTGAATAATGTCGGTTTCCAAAGGGGAAGGTGTGGTGAAATTTCACTCCTCAAATTGTGTAAATTTCAAGTCATGAATTAATTTTCAAATTGTGAATTTAATCCAACTATTATGGGATGTGAACAGCATAGTCTGGTGACTCTAAACTATAGCAGCCAAAAAGGGAACTACTTAATGGCCGCCTGACTAATGACCTTGAACAACCAGTCAGATGAGTCCGCAGTATATGGGCGGAATTATGGTTGCTGTAGACGAATTATGTACCAAATTTCATCCAAATCTAGTATTTAAGTACTGCTTAGACCACAGGCTCATTGAAAGGGAGAAAACGTGTAGCCAACTGTCATCCATGGACTATATTCATAATGTGGTCAATAATATCGATCGATTTCGTCAGTCCTTTCGATGAAACCCACACAAATTACATCGAAAGTTTCTACAGTCACCTAAAAAAAGGGTTAGAGCGGTGAATGCGTTAAGAAACACAATTATATATAGTTATCTCGATGAATTTACGCACCGAAATTGGTTTAATCTAACTATGAGGACTCCTATGAGAAATTGGGTAGTTTTCTCAGAACATATACGAGGAAGTTATTCTGTGTAACTATTTTGCAACGTTGTATTACTTATAGTTAAACGTTTTTTTCAAATTATGCACTTCTGCTTAGGACGCGTTTGATTACTCTATAGAGATTTGTTGCTATAGTTTAGAGTCACCCATAGTTTTCCTAGTTTTGTAAACTAATGAGATTTTGAAGTTGCTAATTTTCAGAGGAGTAACGATGAACACTTGGAAACAACAATAACTGACTTCCAGTGAAGGATGTAATTTGTAATTGTGAACCTGCATTATTCTCTTTTATAAACAGCTAAAGTGGTTGTTTCCATTTTTGTAGTTGCACAATGTTTATATGTATATAGACATGTTGGATTGGAATAAATTTTTCAATAAAAAAACAGAACTTTTGTCTAAATATTTTATCGCACCGGAAGGCTAAACAAACTCTATAACCACTTACAATTCCATGCAGTGGGCTGTGAGCCACACATATTGTTTATGGGCTAATTATACTACTCGAAGCTGCCCAAACCTCGATGCGTAGAGCTAGGTTTGAATCTGTGATCCACTGGTTGAAAGTTGAGATCCTAAACCAATAAGCCACAGCTCTACGATGATGGCAAGCATTGGTCTTTCGCAGTACGCATAAAGACGAAGGACGTTAAAAGTAGTATGCATGGCAGAGCTAGTAGTGTTACACTCGAAGCATTGCCACAAATTTTGCGACAGTTCATTCTAATTGATTTTCTCGAGCTTTGCTTTCCGAATGGAACCTAAGACTTCAAACCAATTGAAGTTTCAGTAGCAGTGGTGTTGTTATTTTTACGGGGTAGGGTTGCTAGCTTCATGCCTAACCTTCTCTCTTTTTCCGGGCTTATTATTGACTAGTAAAGTAGGTGAGGTTTTGGAATGCATCGGCTGGGAATCGAACCCAGATCTCCTGCGTAACTGGTGAGCATTCTACCTTTATAACACCGATGCACATCCAAAGTATGTAAACATATATATTTGTTATTTGTAGACAGCGTACATGAAGTTGCAGGTGACTCTTAGAATCAATTTCACTTTTGAATATGACTCACTGAAACCTCCTTCGTAATTATTGTACTTCATTAACTACATGTTGAATTATGCGATTGTTAAGTATCGAACGAATCAATAGCATAGCTATATTTATTGGTGAAGACCATAATGTCTAACAAAAGTAGTGAGTTTAAAAGTTTGATCTACACAAATTGACATTCAGCCGGTATGATTTGTATAGATTTTCACCTCTACTTATTGTTGATGTATAGTTATGGTTCTTGTAATAAGCAGGTGTACGGATGTTTGTGTTCTCTCTCGTGTTAAGTGGTGTAATATGGTGAGTAATTAAGATTAGGTGTAGTGTTGAGTAAGGAGAGGAAGTCACTCGATGAGCTTGTGAAGCAACACCGATTCAGATGGCTGAAATATGTGCTACACATAGTGCGTCGCCGCCTCCCTGGAATAGCAGTGTTAGCTCACATAGGATTAGGTTGGAAAAGAGTTAGAGGCGGTCTAATCAAAACCTAGCATCGACCCGTGGAGTTTTTGACTGTTGATTTGAGCTATGTAGGGGACTCAGTCTGTCTGGTTGGGCTCCTCAGAACACGAAGAATTAGTGGCTGGAGACTGTTGGTGATATCGCTCAGGACTGTTCCCAACGACAAGGTGCACTTCTTACTCGTTGTAATCTCCCAGATCTATTAAATTAGTCATGTTTTGTGAAGTTACTATTTCTTTCTCCCGTACGTTTCTCCTCATTATACTTCTTTTGATTTTTTCTTTCTTTTTCTCTACCTTTGTATGATACTTTTGTCTGCACTTCTGTGCAAATTTCTACGTTGCAACTCAGTTAGGTGGTCGCTAGCTGTGCCATGAATGCATTAACTTTCTCCTTATTTCTTTTTATTTTCCTGGAGCTGACGAAGACTATTTTAGGCACTCAAGTAGTTGGTCAAAGATTTGAACTCTAATTCGATTTCTGGTGTTTGGATAGCTAGGGAGTATTGTCAATCCTAACATAGGTATATTTTGATGTCAGGCCTGTAGGTACGTACACGGTTTAGCGACACCGGTCATTTTTGTACTTTTCAGACAACAACCAATACTTGAAAATCGATTTGATGCTCACTAGCGACTGGCCCTATTCAGGCAGTAACCTGTGGTTCTAGTGGGAAGCGGTGACCAATAAGGTGAAGCAGTAACTCATCACGCTGTATCATGAATTGGCAGAATTTTGAATTCATGAGGTATTGGATCGGGTCCCAGTGGCTTAAACGTCTACTAGCTCGCCTTGTAACCAGAAGATTCTGGGCTCGAACCCCGGGTGGTGCGTATTGCTGAAGAGTCGTAAACTAGGACGAAACAGCTGTCCAGTACTCCCAGGTGGTTTTCCAATGGTCCTCTAACTGATTTCAGCTCATGATGACATTCTCCAATCAATCAAACAAATCACTACAAAAACCAATACTTGAAAAACAACTTAAATACCTTATAAAAAATAGTAGTCGTGAAACTAGTATACCAATGATGCTTTAATGTATGATATGTAATTAAAGCAGTGTAATGCGTATGAAAAGTTTGAAAGGAGTTTTCGGGATATTTAATTCCGCTTTTTCAGTGAAACTTCTTATTACACGTTGACATCTGTTCATAAGATTATCCTCTTAAAGATTTAAGGTAAAGCGTTCAATTTGAACAAAATTAGTTATTATTTATTAAAACTTAATAACCTGTCTGTTTTTTTCATTCCTGAAGTTCTGGGTGGGATACAGGGCTTCAAACTTTGAAGTTTCAGTAGCGGTGGTTGTTGATCTCACTGAGTGACGTTGTGATCCTCGAGCCAAACCTTCTCTTTTTTCAGGCTTACCACAGGCTAGTAAAGTAGTTGAGGTTCCCGTGTAATTCATCCAGGAATCGAACCCATGCCACCTGCGTAGCTGGCGAGCATTTTACCATTGTGTCGCAGATGCATGGCGTTTGTTTTTACTTAACTGAAATGATCCGTCTGTGTTGGCGTATGGGTTCTTAGAATAAACATTTCGATGGTGACCTTGATTTAGATGTGAATCTCAGTGGTAATATCATCACTTACTGTGATATTAGTATATTCAGATGATGGCTCCCAGGAAGGATGGAACACGCGTCCTGAATTCAACTGTTACTCACCACCTACCTATATCTCACTATATTTTGAGTAGGAAGTGAATGCTGACAAATACAATAGATAGATTCGTACTAGTAAAAGCAGCACATGTGCTTTGTTTCTGAGATATTTTATACTATTTGTATAACAATTGAAACATTATTGATACGGAGCATACATTCTGCTGGAAATTCACTGTTTAGATATGAAGGAGAAGATATGTAGCTCAGATGGATGGTTTTGATGTCCTCGAGTATACTTCAAATTGAAGTATGCGCTGAAGATGTTGCCTAGTAGGGTAATGAAAGCCTCGCATATAAACTATCCAGCTCATAGAACACACGTACATCAAAATTCACTGTTTATTTTGGTACGAGTTATGTAGACATTATTATTTTGCCGGTGCGTCGGTGGTATAGCGGATAGGACGCTCGCCGACCATGCACATGGCCCGGGGTTCGATCCCCGGCCGACCCACTCCTTTACCTCGCTAAGCCAGAAATAATGCTGGTAAAGAGGAAAGGTTGGGCATGAGGCTAGCAACCCCATCCCGTAAAATAAACACTGCTACAGAAACTTCAAGCCACTAGCTTGAAGCCCTATGTTCCACTGGGGAACGTGAAGGAAAAACAAAAAACAACAACATTATTTTGTCTGTCTATTTCAAATGTCCTAAGAGGATTTTGGCATTTTTTAAAATTTCTCTATTAACAATCAAACTTGCCGTAATCGGTCTTAACTGCACACAAGGCTTCTTTCTTAATGTGTTAGATAGTCTGTGTAGTTTTTAAAAGCATTTCTAGCGGAAATCTGCCAGTGAATTCTCATTCCATTAGCGATGGTACATACTACTGATTGGCATGAGCTAGTTGGAAATCATTCATATCAACCATTAGTATATGCTGACCAGATTAAGGTGACCGCTTCTCTCATATATTCTGTTTTTACTCAAACACACTAATATCAATCACCGGTAACATTCAACCTTAGGTTTTTTTAAATTTGTATACAGTGAGATACAATTAGACAATATCACAATTGAAAACCAGGGAGTACTGGAAAGCTGCTGTTTCATCCTAGTTTGGGAATCATCGTCAGTACGCACCTACAGGGATTCAAAACCAGGACCTTCCGGTTACAAGGCAAGCTCGTATACCATTCAGCCACTGGGACCCGATTCAATGGCTCATGAATTCTAACTTCTACCAATTCGTGATTTAGCGCGACTCCAACCATTGTCGTTGGTGGGACATCCATCCACACACGTGACATCTAATTGTACCTCACTGGTCACGACTTCTCACTAGAACTCCAGGAAACTCCATCCTGTAGCAAGTCACTAGCGAGCATCAGATTAATTTTCTATAGTTTGGTTTGTAAGGATTAGTTATGTTTTACGAGTTGATCACGGACTGATATCAGTTAGAGAACCATTGAAAACCAGGGAGTACTGGACAGCTGCTGTGGGTGCGTACTGCCGAGGATTCCCAAACTAGGATGAAACAGCAGCTGTCCAATACTCCCTGGTTTTCAGTGGTTCTCTAACTGATATCAGTCCGTGATCAACTCGTAAAACATAACTAATCCTTACAAACCAAACTATAGAAAATATCACAGTTACCTGATTTTACTGATCATCTGTGAGGTAACCTACTAGGGATATTTATTTCTGTTACTGACATCATGGAGGATATGCTTACATGTAGTGTGTCGGTGGTTCAGTGGAGGCATATCTTCCGACCACGTACATGGTCCTGGGTTCGATTCCCGGCTGACACACTCCTGGCCTAGTTTACTAACCGGTAGTAAGCCTAGAAAAGAGGGAAGGTTGGGTGTGAGGCTGGTAGCCTCATCATATTCGTTAAAAACAAAATCACAGATAGTTAAACTTCAAAGCTTGCCAGCCTATGTTCCACTCAAACAAAAAAGAATAAAAAAACAAGTGCTTACGTGTTGCGTCGTCTCTTTTTAATTGTCTGGTTGATTATCGTTCCTTTGTGTTTTAGTTTAACACTAGACATTGTGTTTATTTACTTGATGGTCGAATAAATTTGTTTTTAAAAAATCTTATTCCTTTTGTCTTCCGAGTGGAACATAGGGCTTCAAGGTTGAGCTTTGAAGTCTCAGTAGCAGTGGTGTTTTCTGCTGGGTGGGGTTGCTAACCTCACACTTAACCTTCCCTCTTTGTCGGTTTCACAGCCGGCTGGGGGAGGTAAGGGTGTTCGCCGGCCGTTAGTTGAGCTCCGGACCACGTTCATGGTTGGCGAGCATTCTACCGCTGCACCACCGACAAATTAGTTTGGTGTGCTAGTTAAGCGTTTCTACAGTCACGTAGAAAACCATCAAACGAAGAATTTACTTTTGATTGTATACGATACAATCAATAAAGCTAGATAGTACAGTAAATTAATTTCCGAAGTGTTGATTTGTTGGGATTTAATTGATTTCGAGTTAAATCACTATCTGACCTAAGTTAAAGGTCCTAGGTTCGAACCCTGGTGGGATCATGGTTGTCTTTTGCTAAGGAGTCTTAAACTAGGACGAAACAGCCATTCAGTAGTACTACTTTGTTTTCAATGCTTCTCTAATTGATTTCGATTAAAAATATAACTTGAGGTTAGTCAAACCCGTAGAAATCATTACCTCGATATTACTTATTTGTTCTTCCGTAAGGGTTCATATTGTCTTCCTTTACTCAAGTGACTAATTTAAAAATTTTGCTTTTTGCTTCGATTACTTTTGTCGAGGTATTTTCAACTTAAAGAATTCGATTTAAATTTGTATTATCTCTTCCGTTGTTGTTTTAGTTTTAGTTAATATCTGTTTTCCTTTTGTCTCTGTCTCTGTTCTTCATGAATTCCGCATCATGTAAATAATATACTTCTACGGGATATTTCTATTTCATATTTCCTTTTTTGATGCTGAAATGTTGTAATCAGTCAACTCTGTTGATGATATTAGATGTACTGGGGCTACAAATCGCATAATTATTGTATGAGGGCTGATAATACTACCCAGTTGCCCAGGCTGAAGTAGGCGGATTGGGAGTCGAACCCGCGACCCATTGGCTATAAGCTGAGAGCTTAATCCACTGGACCATATCTTCACAGAAAACCGAGGTGCACTGGCCAGTTGTTTCGTCCTAAATTGGCACTGACTCCCCAGCACTACGCACTCATGACTTCACCAGGGGTCGAACTCTGTACCTTCGCATATTACCAAAAAAGTACGTTGACCATTCAACCACTATAATATGTGAATTGGTCAGTTAGGATTCTCTTGATATCAAAATATTGTCCCTTGATGTATGGAAGTCATAAAAGTCTGTCCCAAAGTCTTCGTCAGTTGGCACCGAGATTGTTGGGAATATAGTCGTCGGGAGACCTCGAAAACGAACAGGTTAATAGTTGATAAGATTCACTGGTGTTTTTTTTCAATCAGAGATTTGGAATTGGTTTATATTTCAAAATTTAGAGCAATAAAGACCATCGTATTATTTGTAGTACTGTAATCACTTATCCGAAGCCATATGGAGTTGACATATTACTCATAAACCTTTAAAAATATTAAAATTGAACACCCACTAGTATCGTTCAACACTACTGTAAAAGTTCTTTTGTATTCCTTGAATTTCTTCTGTATTAATTATTATTCTTATTAATATTCAGTGTTCATCGAAAGCACAAGATCAGAATAAAAATACAACCGAGTTTGTTTCAAAGGATGTTGTTCTTTCCTTACGAAATTGGCTTATTCCTTTACGTCCACGAGAACGATGTGAATTTCTTCGATCCTGTCGACAAAGTTCCCTTAATCCTGATGAAAGTCCATCACTTGATCTATTGAACTGTTTATGGACAAGTATTTTTCGAGAGATTGGTAATACTTCGCATACAATGAAGTATGCTGTTGGTACACAAACACCGTTACCTAAACTAGTATGGTTAAAATCACGTCAAACTAGACGTGTTGCAAGTATGATTCACGGTCGAAATTCAGTTATCAAAGGAGTAAGTTGAGTAGTGTTAGTACATTAAATTAAATTAAATTTATGCATTATATTTTGTCATCTATTTACATTCACTGATTTTCTCCTACCTTGTTTCCAGGTTAACAAGTGAGTTTGAAATCTGTGGTTGTAATTCATGCAATTATCTTTTATGAATGGTGTTTGTAGAAACTCTGACAAAGGTACAGAATAGCGATCCAAGCGAACGAACTCACCAATGACTTTGAAACGATCAGTCGCTTTTAAAAGGCAAATTTGGGTCTCTAAATGAACCCTAGTCCTAATCTTCCTCTAACCTAACCCCAAACGTAATCCTAATTTATCCCTTACCTAATCGTAACCCTTATCCTTCCTTAATCTGACTGTAATATATCCCTAAACAACCCTAATTTTCCCGTAATCTAACCTCAACCCAACAATGACCTGACCCCTTCATAGCTTAAACCTGACTCTAAGTTCCCCCTAACCTAATCCTAAAATAACCAGATATCTCGTTTAGTATTCTTACACTTCTTTCATAATTTTCCTACGAATATATATTATCTTAGACCTACTTGTACGTTTCAACGTCATTGGTGTGTTTGTCCGTTCCCCTTAGTTGATCTCTTTTATTAGCTATTCTGTATTGGTGATGTGTTTTATTGGATATTTTAAAGAGACAATCAGTTGACAATTTAGTTTATTTAATACCCTGTCTGCAATGATTGTCAGGTCAAATACATAGGTCAAAGTAGTAGAATAGGTGCAGTCAGACTAGCAGAGCATAAAAACCTAGCAAAATCTAGATTGGTTGACCCGAATAAGATAAGAAATCTAGAGAATAGTTCAGCTATAGCACTACATGCAGTCACACACAACCATACAATAGGATGGGATAGGATGACAGTTTTAAAATCTAATGTCACAGGGTATAGGGAGAGAGTGATAACAGAAGCTTTGTTTATCGAATCAACTGCAAATACATGTAATAGGAATGATTCATCACCTGTCCCCGATATCTGGAAAATTCTACTACCCCTACGACAAATAGGAGAAAACAAAGAAAGCTATAAAACTCAAGTGTCAAAGTCGTGTGATCACAATTGATATGATTATGAACAATAAATTTTGTTCGAAACTTCATCCAGTAAATAATACTGTTTCACTGTGTGATACATCTAATAAACAAACTAATATGGAACAATCAGTTGACATTTGATGCAGGTGGCTGTACTGTGCTAGAATTTATTCCTGCCTGTCAGTTTCTTGGATAAGAAGTCGTGCAACTCGGCGGTTTGAGACATTGCTATTAAAAGCACTACAATTGACTATCTTACCTTGACTTTTTGATATTAGTCTGTGTTTAGAGTAGTATAGTGCTAAAGTACTTGAAAATCATTTAATGCGTTTCTTTGTGATAGCATTTTAATTTGTGAGTTGTTGTCGGTGATGATGATTGGAGGTGAAAAGAAAATCTGGTTCATGGCTGAATTCGAACCAATGGCCTCCGAATTACTAGCCCGAAAATGTGCTTGTGGTCTTCTATTTTTTCTAAGAATACCTTATATGCACTGAGAGCTAATGATATTGAAATGAAATCCTACCATAAAATGAATAAGAGATCTAGTTTTTGTATAACCTAAAAATATTATTATTATTCCCTTGGGTTTCGAGTGGAACATAAGGCTTCAGAAGCACATCACCACTGCATTCTCTTCTCTGTGGTTCTATTTAGCTGGCTCCACAAATGCCCATAAGTTTGCATTTCCTCTTCACACGATCCCTTCCATGTTACCCTCGGACGCACGACCATTTGCGTCCCACTCGGGTGCCTAATTTGTGTCTGACTGGTTTCAGCGTAGAACTTTGCACAGATGTGCACCAGTTCGAGTTGCCACACTCCATGTAGCACACAAAGCAAGAAAAGAGAGTAAAGAGAGATTCAAAAGTGAGATAATAAACAGAAGTGTGAGGGAAAAATAATAGTAATATGGAAGAACAATATAATTTTATTGGATGTTATATATCATAAAGAGTGATGATGATGAGTTTGAGACATATCACGAATTATCTCCAGCCATTGGTTATTACCATCCCGAGGACCCCAACCAATCAGGAAGTCTATACCTCCCAACGTGGTGCGTGATATTACTCAACGTTCTTCTCAGCATATGTGCAATTCATCTCCATTTTATGAGGCATATTTATTGGATTGCCAGAGTTCTCTGTTGCTTATCCTTCTGCTTAGCCTTCTGACCTTCATTATTGAACGAAGGAAAGTGTTGATAAAAGTCTGAAACCTGTTCGAAATGCTTTTCGTGATTGCGCCAGCCAAGTTTCTGAACCATATAAAAACAGTGACTTGATATTAGTGTTGAAGATCCGGTTCTTGTTCCTTATGTTGAGTGCAGCAGATTTCCACACTGATTTCATAGTAATGAAGGTCTATCTTGCTTTTCCGATCCTGACACCGTCATCTGTGCCGCCTGTAATTGAAACGATACTGTCTTGGTAAGTAGATTTTTGGTGATGCTGATGGATGCTGGTGATTGTTGGTTGTTTGTTGCTGTTGGTTGGGTACTTGCATCACCTTTATCCTCCCAATTATTATTTGAAAATTTACTTTTAATAGGGTGAAGAATCATTATAATATGACACAGGGTGTGGGGGAGTGTAACTTCTGAATGATTTATGTTGTTTCCTTTTCTTTTAAAAAAAATTATTTTCAGGCTCCAAACAAAATGGAAAATTTCAAGTCTTCACGACGTTTTACTCTATCAGACATTAAAGATCTTAGTCCACATGAAGAAATACCATCATTGACAAGTAAAAATGATATGCCAACTATACGTCTTCTTCGGAATGGATCTGATGAAAATTTAAGTGTTTCAGATTCTGAAAATACTAAACCAAGTTGGCTTGAGGTAAGGCATGTTCTGCTCAATGTTATGTAAGACGTATGTATTCTGTTTTTGTTGTTGCCTCTTCCTTCTAAATCAATCGATATTTTGCAAGGACTTTTTAAGAGTCATAATGTAAATAGTGCGTCGGTGGCATAGCGGTTAGGACCATGGTCCGGGGTTCGATCCTCGGCCGACGCACTCCTTAACCTCACTAAGCCAGAAATAATGTTGGTGAAGAGGAAAGGTTTGGCATGAGGCTAGCAACCCCATCCTGTAAAATAAACACTGCTACAGAAACTTCAAACCACTAACTTGAAGCCCTGTGTTCCACTGGGGAACGTGACGGAAAAATGTAAATAGTAGATTTGTTCACCAATCAATATTATTTCTTTCTTGTTTCATTCCTTACGCTTCCAGTGGAACATAAGGCGTCATGCTTTCATGTTTCACTGGCTCTGCTTTCGTGTTTACAAGGGGTGGCGTTGCTAGCCTCACGCCTATCCTTCCTTCTTTTCTAGGCTTACTACAACCTTAGTGAAATCTAGGAGTTCGTTAGTCAGGAATCCAACCTAGAGCATGTGAATGATTGGAGAGCATTCTACCGTCGAACCAAAGACTCACGTAACCTAGACAGTGTTGAATAACCGTTTCCTACTAGTTTAGTACTTTCAGCAGTACTCATTCATGACCATGCTGGGGATCGGACCTTCAGGTCGTAACTTGAGGCAAGCCCGTTGAACATTCAGCCACTGGAACCTCGTCAATCAATATGTTTCGGGTGAAGTCAAACTGTAAGATTCCTAGAGAACGAGAGTGCGCCAATGACTTTGAATTGACCGACTGCATTAATAAGGCAGATTTGGATGGGAAAACAGAAAGTGGAATTATCTATTAGTTATGGATACTGTTCAGGTTTTAGGGAAAAGATGTTTTTCCCCATAAAGTGTCTTAAACTAGACCATAATCAATAATTTCTAACCTTAACCTTAAGTTAACTCGAATCCACCTAAGCCAAACTCTTACTCCTGACTCTAAGTAATAGTCATTTGAATGAATACCGGCTGACTGAGTTTCAACGTAGAACTTTGCACAGAAGTACAGCAGTTTGAGTTGTCACGCTTCATGTAGCACATAAAAATATAAATAAAGAGGGAAATTTAAAAGATCTATGATGAGGAGAAATGTACGACAGCAGGAATAGTAACATGAAGAAACACGACGGTTTAGTTGATGTGAGAGATCACAGTTAGTGAATGTATCTGCACCATTGAGAATTATTTTGAGTCATATCACCAACAGTCTCCAACTGTTGGTTTATTAGTATTTAAAGGACTCCAACCAGGTAGTCTACACTTCCCTACATGGCTCAAACCAATAGTCAAAGACTTCATGGCTTGATTCGACCACCACTAGCTCTTTTCCAGTCTAATCGTATGTCGGTTAACATTGTCCGTCGAAGAAGGTAATAACTTGGAATGCGCAACACGTGTCCTAGCCATCTCAATCTGTGTAGCTTTATAACCTCATCGACTGACTTACCCTCCTTACCTAACACTCCCATACCTAACCTCAATATTACTCACTCTATTATACTGTCTAACACGGAAGATAAAGAGCAAACACCCGTGGTCAAAGAGAGCCCTGTCTCCTAGCCACAAAGGAGGGAGGAGCGAACTGCTGCCCAGTACACACGTCCCTTGATCGATAGCCAGCTGGATATCACATCTACACCAGGGATGACTTAAGTTAACAAATTCCACACAAGCCTTTTGTATCTGTGCTAAGATGTCGTTAGCAATCAGTCCATTGGGTCTGATGCTCCACCACTTCACTCCCTATCTTTAAACTCGGAGTCGATACACGCCAGTTATGAAGCATCAACATCATTAATGTCGCGTGACCACAGAGCCTAGGGGACAACGGCTTGAGGCTGGTCACACACGACCTCTGTATAAAGGTTTTTGGAGTTGTGTCCTTATTGACATCTTATTGCTGGCTATGGACTGCCGCAAGGTGATTCGGGACGTATAGTTGTTGGGGTCGACTTTTTCCAACCCATCTCTTCGCCAAAGCGTAGAAGCAGCACACTTTGTATACTAGCCATCTGAAGGTAACACCTTATTGCTGTTACATCCCTATTCTTTCCAAGTATTGGTTTTGTAGGGATTTTTTTTGTTTGATTGGTTGGAGGATTTCTAGTGGGAAGCCGTGACCAGTAGGGTACAGCGGGTCAAAGATGAGGCAGTAACTCATCGAAGAAGATATTGCGAAGTGGTCGCGCTATGTCGGGAATTGGCAGAAGGTAGAATTCAAGAACCATTGGATCGGGTCCCAGTGGCTCAATGGTCTACGAGCTAGCTCGCCTTGTAACTGGAAGGTCCTGAGTTCGAATCCCAGTGGGTGCGTACTGCCGGGGAGTCCCAAACTGGGACGAAGCAGCTGTCCAGTACTCCCAGGTTTTCCAATGGTTCTCTAACTGATGTCAGCTCATGATGAAATCCTCCAACCAATCAAACATCCCTATTCCACGGAAGTGCGACTTTGATCACAAGACCCTTAACATAGTGATGGTGGCCGCTATCGAAACAACCTTTCTGACATGGTACGACCAGCAGGAACATTAGTTTCAACCAGTGTTGCTCGTTGAGTCATTGCGATATGCATGCCGGATCACCTCGTCAAGGTAGCAGCTACCGTCAGAAAGCAAATAATACTCAGTAAGAGTTCATTTAATATCCACCTTAGTTAACTGTTGTTTTATTAGTTATCCGAATGATGCAATCCCATATGTAGTAATACTGTTTTTGTTAAATAAGAATAGGGAATACCTGTTTTCTGATCTTTTGTAACTTCTCATTTCCCAAAGATAATTTGGCTTCCCTAAAGAAGATTGCGTAAAGTCTGGCGTTTTTATTCTAGTTCGTTACATCCACACCACAACAGGAATTACTTCTTATCAAACAGTTATTCATTCGATGTCTTTGAAGTTTACTTCAGATTTCTAGAAGCATACTCTTTGTTGACCTCACTTTCTCCCCCCTACTTTCTTTTTTAAATTTCAGACTGAATACTTAACACGTATTCCTGCTTGGCTACCGACTAGTTTCATTTCAACTTCATTGGATTCCGCTGAAGCAATAAGCTATAGACTTTATCGTCGTTTATCTTCAATGTCATTGTGTAGAAATTTCGATGATGATATCCCGCCTTTGCAGGAGAGTGGTCAAGTTCTTTCTACAACTTTAAATAAAAATAATCTTGATACTAATAAACTTGAAGCTGATGAATTAGCCTTGCTACGCACATCACTTACTGATTTCACACCATTATTATATCTAGATAAAGAGACATCAACATCTGGTTTATGCAGTTACATGAATTGGTCTTCTAGTCAACCAGATTATATTACTGAACGAGGTCTTAAATACCTGAAGTTGGGTTCTCATGTTCAGGTGAGTTTGTTCAATTAATTTATGTATAAAAGTGTTGTAATCATTTCTCTTGATTTTCCTGTAGTTACTCGTATGAATGTTCTGTAGCCTTAGACATGCAATTATGCTTGCTTTCTTGATAACCATTAATCCTATAAAGTAGATAACAGATATTCTGGTGTTCAGGTATTGGTTTGTAGGGATTTGATTGATTGGTTACAGGATTTCATCATGAGCTGACATCGGTTAGAGAACCACTGGAAAACCAGCTTGGAGTACTGGACACCTGTTGTGTCCTAGTTTGGGTCTCTTCATCGGTACGCACCCACCGGGGCTCGAACCCATGGACTTCTGGTTACAAGGCGAGCTAGCTGGTAGAACATTAAGCCACTGGGACTCGATCCAATGACCAGACCATGAATTCCAACTTCTGCCAATTCACGACTTAGCGCGACCACAACTGTTGAAAAGACCCAAACTGAGACGAGACAGCTGTCCAGTACCCCCTGCATGTTTTCCAATGCTTCTCTAGCCGATGTCAGCTCACAATGAAGAAGAATTTCGGTTTCCAAAGGGAACTGTGGTCAAATTTCACCTCATCAGACTGTGTAAATTGCAAATTAATTTTCAAATTGTGAATATGATTTATGGAGTTATCAGTTCGCACAAGTAGATAACCAGAAAGTGACCGGTTTGAACTGATTCAGCTCTCTAAGCTGAGTTAAACCGGGTGCTTTGCTGATAATGAGCTCAAACCCAAACGAGGAAAACCGCCGTCTGGTGTTTAGATCACTTCGATCTCACTGACTAGCAAACAGTACTGGTTGATGTGAGTAGTATCCAACTACTCATATCAATCAATCAGTAGTATATAGTTTCATACAATTGGACAACTTTTTATCAACACATGATTTATTTCTATTCTTTTGTTTCTTTTTAGTCAAGTAAAGCTGACAACATAAGTAAGTACTCATTCTTTAATAGTAATGCTTATATTTCAAAGATATGTCTTGGATTACGTCTATATGAGTCAAACATTTGTATATGCATTATTTATTTTTAATTCAATTTTGATTTTCTCGTCGACTGATTGGACCAAAGTGTTCGATGGCCTCTGTTGATATGTCGGCTCCTACCATGTAGGCTTCAACAACGTCTGACTGATGATTAACATTGGAATCCAGACATCGTCGGAACGTCTGTACTAGAAGCCGACATATAAGCAGAGGTCAAACACTCAATGGAAACTGACTGATTGATTGGTTTCAACGTAGAACTTTGCACAGATGTGCACCAATTCGAGTTGCCCTACTCCATGTAACACACAAAGCAAGAGAAGGGAATAAAGAGAGATTCAAAAAGGAGATAATAAACAAAAATGTGAGGGAAAAAGAATTGTAAATGGAAGAACAATATATTTTTATGGGATATTATAAGTCACTAGGAGTGGATGCATCTACGCCAGCTATTGGGAACGATGAGTTTGAACCATATCATCAATTGTCTCCAGCCTTCATTGGTTATTACCATCCCCATAACCCAACCAGTCAGGAAGTCTACACCTTCCTAAGTGACTGGCTTAAACTAACTGTTGTGAATTTCATTGACTGATGAAGCCATGTTTTGGTTTGACCGCCTCTAGCTCTTTTCCAACCTGATCCAGACTATGTCAGCTAACACTGCCCGTCTAGGAAGGCGATGTCTGGGCATACCTACGTAACACATGTTATAACCATCTTAATCGATGTAACTTCTCAACCTCGTCGATTGATTTCCCTTCTTTACCTAGCACTCGACCGATGCCTAACCACAATATTTGTCACTTTATTATACCACTTAACATGGAAGATGGAACGCAGACATCGATCTATGATCAAAGACATCTAGCCAGCATTTTCATGTCTTCCACTTTCAATGACCATGTCTCACAGAAATGTCTCAACGGAAAAATCAAAATTGAATTGAAAACAAATAATAACTGATTCGCGTTACACTAGTAGCATTTTCTAGGGACTTTGATATTTTTAACACTTATATTCCACCTCAACATCTTGTTACTACAGGCGTCATTTTTTGAGAAACTTTATAGCTAATGCCTATGTAATACACTTAAATAGATACACACATGACTGATTGACTACCTGACTAATTGAGTTTCAATACAGAACTCTGCACAGAAGTGCAGCAGTTCAAATTACCACATGAAGACTTAATATATGTAGGAGGTTACAAAGAGTGAATGCATCTATGCCATTGAAAACAATTTTGAGCTATATATCACTAACTGTCTCTAAAACCATCGGTTCTTAGCACCCCAAAAGATTTCAATCAGGTTGTGTACGTGAGTCAGCTTAAACTAAAAGTGAAAGAGTTCATGAATTGATGACATGTTTTGATTTGACCACCTCTAACTCTTCTCCAGCCTCATTATATGTCGGCTAACATTGCTCAATGTGGAAGGTGATCTCAACTGTCTTCTGTTTCGCTGGGGTGGAAGTTTTTATAACGTATTATGAGAAAGACTTCTGGTCTACTCTTTTTGTTATGCTGTGGTATCTACAGCATACTAATCACACAACTGCGCGGACAAGCCAGAATATCGAAGTGCAAAATTGCTCTTTGTCAATGCATGCACCGGTGCTGAACGAATAAAAATTACTGTCTTTCGTCCTTTGTTTGTATATGCTAGTCGGTTGATTGTTGACAGCAGTTCCTCTGTTTTGTTAACCCGCAGATCCTGATTGCCCACTTTTGTAGACAATTACTCGTTATCTTAATATTTGACTTCTGCTTCGTGTCTTTTTTCGGAGATATACTGAAGAACAAATTGGTAGTTCAGTGAATTTTATCACTGTATTATTATTGTTTTTATTGAACATATTCATTGATGATCCATTATTATGTCTAACTGTTATTGTTGTTTAACTAATCAAAGGTATGAAATCTACTACTCCAACTGAAAATTTATCAGCCAGTTCAACTGAAAACACAAGAATCATTGTTTCAGGCGAGTAAGTTGAGATTAAATATGATTTCTTCTAAAAATAAAAGAGAAGGTTAGATGAGTTTATTTCAGTGATACTTACTAAAAATAAAAGCAGATAAGTAGAAATTAATGGTAGAATAAAGTATTGGACAAACGTTTTATTTTCAAACAGAGTTTGGTGTTATGCTAACAACTTACTGGCACCTCCAACGCATACACAAATTTCATACATTTATTCCCCTTTATGAATTTGAATAAAGCAAAAATAAGGTGGCACCATCATTTATTTTGTTGGCTTCTCATCAGCTGCTTTCAGCCTGAAAATATTACTAAGTTTATGTACAGAAACAATTTTGACGTACCCAGAGACTTCAAGTTCAAGGTGTTTGATAGAGATTGCTTCGGCCAACTTGAAGAGGATTGAGCTATTTTGCCTACTGATAATTTTGAAGCGTCTTGCGATGTCCTGTTGATGTAGGCATAAAACTTGGGCACCTTGGTAGAGTATAACTCCATTATGGATAAAATTTTATTTTGATTAAATCACACAGTGTTATACAGTAATATTTACTGATGACCACGTTTCGAGCACAATAATTATTGCCACTCATAATCATATCAAGTCACTCACACAACTTTCTTGTCTCATTTATATACATGAGTAAAAACTGATGTTTAGACGTTAGAATAAAATCACTGTAAGATAAAGTACATTGGAAATAATATAGTTACAATAAAATACAATAAGATGGGAAATAAGATGTTTTTATAGTAAAATAAATAACTTGTTAGAATGTTATAATGTGAATTGAATACATTTTAACATTATTTATTATCCTCTGATTTGACTGGTGGTAATAATATCTTCCATATCTCTGGTATTTGCGTTGAGTCATTTCTGTTGCATGTGTTGGGTGTAGACTCGATGAACCAGACAGGATTCAGTAATCAATCTCTGTATCTCCACCTACCTGTATTACTTTTTAGAGTTTTGACTCTGTCCCACCCACCCTATTGTGTAGTTGTGTTTTAATGCATGCAGTGCGATTGCTAAGTTTTTGTCTAAATTACTTATCTTCGTGGGATGAATCATTCTACACTTAGCTGAATTCTTATGTTCTGATAATCTGACTACACCTGATCTTCTAGTTTGATTGATCTATGTAGTTGACTTAACTCACAGTCATTGCAAGGTATTTTGTAAATTATATTATTTTGTTTAATTGGGTCCACTGGGTCCTTTAGCCTACAGAGCTTGTCTTACCTGAGTGAGTTTGTAGGTTTGAATGCCATCCTAATTCCTGCTTGCGATGTCCACCTTATGATCTGTATCACGGAGATGTCTAGCAATGGCACTATTGAAAGCCTTTGTTCTCTTGAGACGTAAACTTTTTGGTACATGTTCAGAAAATTGAAGGTGTGCCCTGCCTTTTGCTTTTTCAATATGTAGACATACACACATGTCTACTTGTTTGTTTCTATTTCCATTAAGTAATGCACTATTGTCACTCATGCATGTAGCGTTTGATTTCTTCTCACCTTCTTCAGACTTGTCAAGTGGAAACTAAATTACCATGCTTCTCATCTAATAATAATAAATTTTATATTCTCAAATAGTTCTGTATAGTTTATAGTTTGAATTATTCTACTGTAAAGTTTTATCGACAGTTACCTTCTGTGATTCGATGGCCGATCAGAATGGATAAGCAACAGGGAACACTGGCAATGCAGTGGATCTATTACCCAAAAAGTATGCAGAAGCAATTTAGAGACAGACTAGACCTAAACTGGAGAGACATACTTTCAAGTGTGGACCCCTAATAGGAAGTAAAAGATTGACCGCAGGTTCCAGGAAGATATAGAGAGCATGAAAGCTTATGGGCAGTCGTGAACAATGATAAACTGATATTAATGGCAGAGAATTAAGTGGAACGGCGATTTGCTTCTGTAGCCCTTTGTTCTACTCGAAACTAAATCCCTCTCGGATTGATTCACAATATCGAACACCAAATTGTCAGCTTTTTTCTGTGACATATTACGAAACTGAAGTCCGTAATAGTTAACATATCTGCTGGTTTTTTATTATTTGCTTTTTTTCTAGAGATATGGAGACGTAGTTTCATGCGAAACAATTGGTCAGTCGTCGGTCGGAGATTCGGCGGCAGATGGTTAACTGGAGCTCCTAATTTCTTTTCAGGCAGTTTTTTCAATAGTTTTATCAAGTTTACTTTATATTTCTTTCAGAGAATTTAATTACCAGCTAGCTAGCTAGCTGACTCTTCTTCGCTTTAATTATTTTATTAATTTATTCATATTTTTATAGATTTCTTGTTGTTGTTGATTTTACTGATTTATCATTATTTCTGTTTCATTCTATTTCGTCTATTCGTAGAAGCATATGCATTTTGATATTTTGTTGTAATCGTATTTTCCTACTTTAACGCTCGCGCGCGCCCTCCCCGCGCTCGCCCGCTCGTTTTTCTGTCAGTGTGAGTGTGTAGTAGCTGTCACAGTTTGTCTGGATTTCCACTATCTTTTTTTAAAAATTTTCAGTGTGTATTCCTGTTTTTCAATGCTAAACTATGATCTCTTTCTATGTTTCTTAACTTCTCAGTGCTTAGATTGTCTTTACAACTATTGTTTGTGTTCTTATGCGATATTTACTATTATTATTATTATTATCTTTTCTTTGTAGTCATTTAATTTAATTCTGTTTAACATTATTTTAAAGTAATTTCGTAATAGTGTTAATAATAATGATGATAGTAATAAAGTATTCGATTACGTCATCGTTTTGTTCTTGAAAATTGTGCTTTGTTATCATTTTTTTTTCGATTTTTCCTATCATAATGATGTAATATTCTGAAGTGATTAATTAGCTAGGGAATAATGTGCGTCAGTGGTCTAGTGATAGAATATACTCGCCAACCGCTCACGTGGTCTGAGGGTTCGATCCCCGATTGATGCACTTCTAAACCTCAGGTATCCGGTAGTAAGCCCAGTAAAAAAGGAAGGTTGTGGAGAGGGGATGTATGGCTAGGTAACTACACCCAGTAAAAAAATAAACAGCGTTGATAATGAAACTTAAAAGCTCAATGCTTGTTCCACTTGGGATGCAAAGGAGTAGAAAGAATTTTATAATTGAAATAAAAGTAAAGCAATGATGAGCAAACTTCATTATATTTTGAAGTTGTCTTACGTCGTTATCAGATCATGATACTGATGCTCGTCAGCTTTAGTGTGTGATTAGGTGACTCGTCATAGCGGTAGAGGCAGGAAGATATGGATCTAAGTTTCGTGCCTGTCGGCACTTATCATCAGAGTGTGTCTGTGTAACCTTGAAGGGACTGATGTCCTCTCTCCAGAGATTTGGACCTGCATCATGCTTTGCAGACGATTGCCAACAAGCACGAGACCTAGGTCAAGGACTTCTCACTGATAGCTATGATCAATGCATCTTTTACAGTCCTACTGGAGGGTTATCGGTAACCCAGTGGTAACGTTTCTCATTGTAGCACTAGGTTATTAATACGCCTTTCTGACGAGTACCAACAAGCAGGAAAAATAAGTCCAGAGTTCCCTGCCTATGGCTACCAGTCACCTAACATAATGTTATCTGGTTAGGCAGAGTTTGAAACTATAGGTTCAAAGTGAAATGCCTTATTCAGTGAGTCACAGTGTCAAATATTTCACGAAAATAGTTGCATTTGACTTTATTTAGTAAAAATATTTTTGAAACTTGTTAGTTGTATGCATTTACAATTCCCAGTGAGTGGAGGTGTCTTCGTTGGGACTCGAACCCAGCACCCATTGTTTCAAACACCATAGCTCATCCGTGAGGACCACTTCCTATGCAACAGGTATCAGTTTTTACTTGCTTAAGTTAATTTTATATTTTCTGTTGATTGATTATGTTGGATTGAATTATTCGGTCTATTTTGACATTTCGGCTCTCAATAAGAACTCCTCGACGGTGTGCATCTTGGATTCCACTACTAGTCGTCATCCACCAAGTGACCTCGTGTTAGTCCTCAGACGCTACTGAAGCGTTCTTATTAGGAGCCAACATGCCAACACAGATCGAATATTTTGGTCCAATATAATCAAGCAAGGGGAAATACAAAACTGAACTTAAACGAAGTGTTTTGTGCATTCATTTTGTAAGGAAGCTTTAAGACAGAATAGGATACTTTACTCTGTTAGTTCTGTCATATACTCTTAAACCAAACCCAATGTTTAGTGCTTTTATAGAATTCAGAGTCCTGATAGTATTCCACTGTTGTTTGAGACATTTTTTGTAAGGGAGATTCTAAGACTCTCTCCCGTCTCCTGCTGTAAAGTGTTCATCTTTCTTTTATTCTGATATTTAGATGTTCCATCGAAGATAATTGAAATGCAACGTACAAGAGTGAGTTTTCAGTTTGTTATAAGCCAGTATTGATTTTTATAAAGTTGTCTAGCGTGTCATTCAGGCGATTCAAATAAGTCGGACTAGATTCAAGCACAACGATTCACGTAGATATAGATATTTTTTTTTCCTTCACGTTCCCCAGTGGAACATAGGGCTTCAAGCTAATTAGTTTGATTTTAGGATGGGGTTGCTAGCCTCATGCCCAACCTTGCCTCTTCACCAGCATTATTTCTGGCTTAGCGAGGTAAAGGAGTGCGTCGGTTGGGGATCGAACCCCGGACCATGTGCATGGTCGGCAAGCGTCCTAACCACTATGCCACCGACGCGTAGATATAGATAATCTAACAAATGTCGAATGCAGTCAGCTCGTCCTGATGTAATGAACGTGTATATTCATTCAGCTGTAGATTTTCTGTGTTTTTTTCCACCTTTGAACAATCCATTGTGATTTGTTATTTCTTTACACTAATTAGTGTGTGTTACTTTCTGTTTGATATAATAGCATCAATTTTCAAGTATGATCACAAACTGACACCAATTAGCGGACCATTCAAATTCAGAGAGTACTAGGTAGCTGTTTCGTCCTTTTCTGGGACTCTCCAGCAGTAGGCACCCTTGACTCCGTCGGGGATGCAACCCAGGACCCTCAGGTCAGTCGCTGACCATTTAGCCACTAGGACGGAATGGAATGGTCCATGAATTCTAACTTCTACTATTTTGCTATTTACAGCGCAAATACCAGCCAGTGTCATCGCATCATAACCTGAAGGTCTGTGTTTCGATTGCCAGTGGGGTTGTATGTGTGCGTACTGCTCCAGAATCGCAAACTAGAACGAAGCAGGTGTCTATTATTTTCTAATTTTCAATGGTTCTTCAAATGGAATCAGTTCATAATCTAACTTGAAGCGTCTTCTTTTAGAGCAATGTAATTCTAATTTCCATGGGTATTTTGAATCTGTTGTAGATATGAGACCTTAGTTTTATGATAGTATGTAGTTGTGTAAATGCTTTTTTGCAATATGAATATGTATCAACAACCAGTATCGATTAAGGTATTACTAGCTTCATGTTTGTGATTTCTTATCTACTGCTGAAGGGTTCACAGTTGAATACTTCATCATGAGCATTGCATCCTTCCAGGCATGAAGTTTAAGTATACTCAACAGTATTTAGTGTCTGATCGTTACCGTATTCACTCGTTTCCATGACCCTGATGTCTATGATGATGATGATGATGGTCATTTTACCAGAAGTGAAGTCGTTTCGCAACACTAACTTCTGTTGTTTGGAATGTCTGTTGCATATACTGTTATTAGTATTGTCTTGGTCTAGTGGAACATAGGGCTTCAACTGCACGTTCTACATTTTGTTCTTCTGTACTTTTCACCCGCATCCATGTTATTCCACACTGTTCAACTCTTCCTCACATGATCTCCTCCATGTCACCCTTGGACGCCCCACTCGCCGCTTCCCTTTCGGGTTCCACTCGAGGGCCTGACGCGCGATGTCACCCAGCGGCCTCCCCAGCTCAGCGAGTGTCCAATCCATCTCCACTTTCTCCTGCATATTTGTTGGGTGTTTGGTTCTTGTTTTGTTTGTTCCCATAGTTTCTTGTTGCATATACTATGCTTAAGATATTTTAAAAGTATCTGGAGGGAGGGCAGTTATTTTATTAAATAACGCAGTGTGAAGAGAACTGATCGCCAGCTTACTCTCGTCACCTTTAAATGAAAACATTATTGTATAGAACTATATTGACTGATTTCAATTAAGTATCATTCTGTCTAGTAAAAGCATCAACCATTTATTTGTTTCCAGAAGTATTAAAAAGAACACGTAGTTTATTTACACAATTTCACAGTAGTTAGTTTTTATTTGGTGATGACAGACACTGGGCAGTGGTCCCGCTAAAAATCACGAATCGGTAGAAGTTAGAATTCATGGGCTGGTCATTGAGTCGGATCCCAGTGGCTGAATGGTATACGAGCTTGCCTTGCAACCCGAAGGTCCTGGGTTCGAACCCCGGTGGTGGGTGCATACTGATGATGACCCCCAAACTATGAGGAAACAGCTGTCCAGTATTCCCTGGTTTTCAATGGTTCTCTAACTGATATCAACTTGTGGTCAAATTCGAAAGACAATTAGTATTTTAATGAGTTATAAATTAGTATTACTTTTTGGCTCTCTGAGTTGATTCATATCGAACATATTATCTGATGAGCTTGGCCCTAGACGAGCAGCGAAACAGGCATCCGTTGTTAACATCATTTCGAGCTGCCCTAGCAAACACTACCGGTTTTCGTGAGTAGTTGGAAACTACTCATATCAGTCAATCAGTAGTATATACGATCATGAGGTATTACTTTTAGATTACAAATTTCTGACCATATCGAATCAGACTATATAAACATATATGCATATGTATAAGAGATGAAGTTCTAACATTATTATTCTTATTATGTTTATGAATATTGATCATTTCAGGCCGTGGCAATATTCAAAAAGCTTCATCGTACATGTCAGAAAGTATTTAAAGGCGATTATGAAACATTACAAGGTAGCTATTCATGATTATTTATAGTACTTATGATCTTATTTTCAAATATTTTAAAGGTGGACTGGGTTACGTCATTATTTTATTATGTAATCTGACAGCTTTAGAAATTTAAAGTGACTTAAGAGCAAAATGAAGTTTCTTATTCCTGAGATCTGTGGGTGGGTAATTTTGATCTAGTTGTGTCCTTTGAAGTGGTTTGTTTAGCTGCGAAGCTTTCATTGTTCTTCTGGGAAACATTATCAGCGCAAACTTCAATATGAAATGAAATTATCTGAATTCTATATGCATAATGATGCAATTGTTTCTTCTGTTAACCTTTATCGTAATTAATTGTTAATTTGTATCAGTTTTCCACCAGGGGAAAATTTACGGAATCCTTCGAAGTAAAGATAGGAGTAAGAAAAGCTGGCTGCCTACTATCTCCAATGCATTTCCTGATTGTGGTAGACTGGATAATGAGACAGACAGTGGTCAGCAAGGAAACAGGCATAAAATGGACCCACACAAAACATCTGGAGGATCTGAACTTCGCCGATGATATATGTCTGGTTTCTCATAAACTGGAAGATATGCAAGTGGAAAGCAACAAGTCGGTGGAAGAAGCATCAAAGATAGTAATTCATATGAACATAGAGAAAACAGAGGTGATGAAGATTCCTGGCCTACAGCAACAGCAACAATCAGCATAAGTGGGAGAAATCTGAAAGAAGCAACCTTCTTAACCTACCTACCTGGGAAGCATCGTTTCAACTACAGGTGGATGGAACTGATAAGGATATCAAGGCGAGGATCGGGAAAGCAAGGAAAGCTTTCATTCCTCTCAAGTCTGTGTGGAGGTCAACAGCATTCAACATGAAAAATAAGATGTGGATTTTCAATTCGAATGTGAAGTCATTGCTACTTACTATACGGATCAGAGACTCGGCGCCGCGTCACGAAGGGCACACTTCGAAGAAACTACATTCACCAACCGCTGTCTTCGCTCAATACTCAAGATCAGATGGTCAGAGAAGATTAGCAATACGGAGGGATCTCCGGGAGAGAACCAACCCAGCAGGAACCGATTGTGAAACAAATAAGCAGGAAGAAATGGAGATGGATTGGCCATACTCTGAGTAATCCATCAAGCGACACCACTAAACAAGCTCTTGAGTGGAACCTGAAAGGGAAGCGGCGAGTTGGTCATCAGTGCGAGGGTAACATGGAGTAGGTCATGTGAAGAGGAGATGAAAGCATGTGGGCAGACCTGGAGCCAGGTGAAAACGTTGGCAGAGAACCGAACGCAATGGAGACGTGCAGCTGAAGCCCTATGTTCCTCTAAGAATTAAAGGAAATAATAATAATTGTATCAGTTTTCATTAACTTTGAATATAAATTTCTTTTGTCATATGGCGTATTCTATTCTATATGAGTTGATAAATTTAATTCATAGTAATGTGTCTGTTAGTTAGTTGCTGATTTATCTGGGTACTAGGTTTCTAGAAATTCTCTGGCACTTTTGGTGTTTCCACTGCTTAGAATTTCAACATTTTCCTGGTCAAATTGGTGTCTAAATGAAAGCATATATTTTGTATATTTGACAAGTAGCTTGGGTTCTTGGATTCGGAGTTGAAGGGAGACCTACTTTGACCAATGTAGTGGTTATCGTAGTCCATGGAATTTATTTTGTAGATGGCATTAATTTTGTCTTCTTTTACTGTTGAGTCTTTTGGTATTGTTATTCCGTGCTTTAAGAGTAGAACATAAAGATTCAGTCTTCGAAGTTTCAGTAGTGGTGGTGTTATATTTGCGTGGTAGGGTTGCTGGCCTCATACCCTTTCCTCTTTCCCAGGCATTCTACTGGAAAGGTTTAGGAGCGCATGAGCTGGGGATCGAACCCAAGCCATCTTCGTGACTTTTGAGCATTCTACTATTACTGAACCGCTCTAATTTAAAACTGTTTCCATTGAAATGCTATCCACACACACACATTTAGATTTTAGATGTTATACGTATTTTTTATTTCTTTTCTATGCTTAAATTCTCTTTTCAGCTGCTAGAGAGAAAATCAATTCAGAATTTCGAGCTAATCGAAATGAAACAGATCCAGAGAAAGTAGACGAAGTAAGTTAGTTATATTGGATACAATGAATATATAATACACTGAATTTTATAACACCAAGATAAAGACAAATAATATAGAATTTATAGGTTTCAATACAGGCCAAAGTAGCAATAGTGGCCGGATCTGCTTCCTTTTGCACACAGAGCTGCGGTTGATTTAAGCGACTCACAATTGCCTCTAATGTTTGAAGTGTTCTGTATCTAGAGGTCTTTGGTAGTTCATTTTATATCCGATAGATGATAGACAAAGATTCCTCAATGCTACTTTTTTGATCTGTTTGGCTGAGGTGATCCAACAACATGGAACTGTTGATGGTTTTAACTACACCATTATATAGTCAAACTGGTAGGTGTTGCCGAGCACGAATAATTAAGTCCCTAGAGCAATGGCCAATATAACTGGCTTCAAAGGAACGGTTTAATTGATACGTAAAATTAAAGATGGCTAACCTAGGTACTTCGTTCATCAGTTTCAGAATCAAAACTGGTCGTGTAGAAAATATGAGTTTCAGCTTACTGGCAAAAGAAGCAAGTCCAGCAGTCACTACTGCTGCGTGGAACCTATAAATTCGTTGTGTTCTCTGAGCTGGTTGATTTAATCGTGATTATCAATAATCATTCATGGAGAACTTAAATATTTTATGCTAAAACCTACGCTGAAGATGTTGTCTAGAAGGGCGACGAAAGCTTCGCGATTAAATCAACCAGCTCAGAGAACACAACTAATTGAATATCATCCACCTGAGCTACAAATCTTCTCCATTACCTATAAATTCATAAATCCTTTTTTATTTTTCTTAATTTATCTGATATTTAGTTTAGTGTTATCTTAATGCACAGCGGTAGAATGCTCGCCGACCACGCATGTTGTCCGGGGGGTTCGATCCCCGGCCGACGCACTGCTTTACCTCGCTAAGCCAGTAATAAGACTGGTAAAGAGGGAAGGTTGGGGGGTATGAGGCTAGCAACTTCATCCCGTAAAAATAAATACCACTGCTACCGAAACTTCAAAGCTGTAGCATGAAGCCCGTATGTTCCACTGGGAATCTGAAGGAATATCTTAATGCATATTATCTCTCTCTTACTGATGCTTTTGAAATGTAATCTGTCGATACTATTGATCCAATGTAATTTAAAACAGCATTAATGTTGTCAATAGGAATAATAATAATATAATTATTATAGTCATAAAAATGTGGAACCTGATGACAAAATAATGTATCACGTATCTATTTATTGTGTGCGTTGGTGCCGTAGTGGTTAGATTGTTCGCCGACCATGCACATGGTCCGGGGTTCAATCCCCGGCCGACGCACTCCTTTACCTTGTTAAGTCAGAAATAATGTTGGTGAAGAGGAAAGGTTGGGCATGAGGCTATCAACCCCATTCTGTAAAATAAACACTGCTACAGAAACTTCAAGCTGGCTCTAGCTTGAAGCCCTATGTTCCACTGGGAAACGTGAAGGAAATAATAATATCTATTTATTGACACATTAGAATTGCACGACCAAGTTTCAGCATAGAATTTTGCATAGAAGTGTAGCTGTCAAACATGCCACAATCCGTATAGTACACACACGTAGAATAGATAGAGAGAAAAGAAATTCAAAAGAACTACAATGAGCGGGAATGTATGGGAGAAATAATAATAACATGGAGAAACATGAGTGTCTAATGGACCTCGGAGCTTACAGAGAGTGAATGCGTCTGCACAACTGAGAACCATTTTCAGCCATATCACCAATCGTCGGTTCTTTGCATCCCGAGGACCTCAACCAGACAGTCTAACTTTTCCTACGTGATCCAAAGCGAATGTTGAAGATTTCATGAGATCCATGATATGTTTCGGTTTGATCACCCCTAACATGTGTCCGATGTGTAATCCTATATCAGCGAACATTGCTCGTCGAGGAAGGCAGTAACAAGTTAGTGACTAAGTCGCTAAAGCTAGTTAGGATTAATTCTATTAGTACATCTATGGGAACAGTGGGCATCCCTGTTGGACAGTACTAGTTGTCATCACTGTAGATGAAAACTCTGCGTAAGCTCTTAGACGACTGCGTGAGTTCAAGCAGAGTGCTTTGATTAATACTCCTTTCAAGGTCAAACATTTCTACTGCATCTCTCAGGTCAAGAAATGCATACGCATATGTTCCAGAATCTGTCAAAAGGTGAATTTATGATTAATGTACCCCCTTTCAGGCTTGACAGGTTTTCTGAGAATTGTTTCTCTCGATCGCTGCTCATTCTACACATGATTATTGAACCGAGAACTTTAGATATTGGATTTTACGTAGAAATGAAAAAAAGTTGAGGCGTATTACAGCATAACGTTTACTGTGTACCTCATTCATTTGTATAGTTTGCTATCCGTTTGTTTGCATTTCATAGTTATTAAAAACTGCAGAAGATTCTGAATTGCTTATTAGAACGACGGTTATTCAAATGGAACTTGTCGATGAAGATAAAAATGTTTACAGTGAGTTGTGTTGTTTTGTAAACAAAAAATTCTTCTTTTTCTTACATCGTCATATTTATTGAACTATATGTTGGTTGGAGGATTTCATCATGAGCTGACATCAGTTAGAGAACCATTGGAAAACCACCTGGGAGCACTGGACAGCTGTTTCGTCCTAGTTTGGAACTCTTCATCAGTATGCACTCACCACCAGGGTTTGAATCCAGGAACTTCTGGTTACAAGGTGAGCTCGTAGACCATTAAGCCACTGGGACCCGATCCAATGGCCAGCCCATGAATTCTAACTTCTGCCAATTCATGATATAGTGCGACCACTTAGCAATGTCTTCTTCGATGAGTTACTGCCTCACCCTCCAACCAATCAAACACAATCCCTACAAAACCATTACTTGAACTATATGTGTTTTTGGTTGTTTTTTCTATTTAGACATTATTGATAATAGTGATATTTGAACATGACATTCGCAGTGATGCAATTCGCTAATCTGAGCAATTGACTTCCAGCTAATGATTGGTGGGGTTCTAATCCCGCTCTATCTGTTTCAGTATAGATCACTAGGTGGTAGCATCATCATCTATCTGCATAAACGCATATACACAAATGAAGGGTGTCGCCTGGATTTGCACATAAAATTACACTATTCTCGGTAAATGACATTGAAAAGTTTCTTAGTATAAACTCCACTTTTCAGAGGATAACTTAGTGTGAAAAGATTTAAGTATATGTGTAAAGGTGTACATCCTTCTATGTAGGTAGGGATGGATCATCACTGTCTTTGGTGGAGACTAAATCCTAGTAAATGCTTGATGTCTATACGGGTTCTCACTGCCGTACTGATTTGAAGTGTCACAGTGGACTGTTGCATTTAATTATTAAAAGTTTTCCCTTTTATTTCCCAAATGTTGATTAATTCTGTTTGTTGTGATGTAGTTATTATTATTATTACTGCTATTCATTCTTTGGGTTCCGAGTGGAACAAAGGGCTTCAACGTCACATTTCCATTGCACTCAGTTCTCTGTCATCGCTTTCAGCTACCTCCATGACTTCCTATAAGATTTCATTTCCTCTTCATATGATCTTCTCCATGTCACTCTCAGACCCAAGCATCATCTGTCGAGTGATGTTGTGGCGTATGCTACTGATAAGATTCATCAGTAGTATATAAAGAGACTTTCATCAGCATAAAAAACACCAGGTAGCAGGGAGATAGATTTGATGTCAGAGAGAGCAAATGATACAACGTTGCGCAGATACATCGAAGCAGTGAAAGCAACATAAAGAAACACAATATGAATTGGAGAAGCGGGACAACACAGAAGATCTGTGCAAATGGTGTTGTGTTGAAGATGAATATTCCTTTACCAAATCTTTAAGTCTTCTACCGTTACAATTTCGCCTAAAGTCCTGTCACTTTAGTACTTGTCTAATACATCTCCATGTCATTGCGCATATTTATTTATTTTTTTTGATCTGTAGATTTGTTGAGTGGTTACCTACCTATTAGCAGAGTTCCTTGTTGTATATCCTTTCCGGTTGGCTATTTGACCTTCAGTATCGAAAGAAGAAAACCGACAAACTGGTCGAAGAAGCAGCAAAGATAGGACTGCAGGTGAACATAGGCAAGACGGAGGTTATGAAAATAACCAACCAACAACAACAACAACAGCAACATCCAGCGCCAATCACCATCAACGGGAGGGATTTGAAAGAGGTTACTTCATTCACTTATCTAGGGAGCATTGTCTCAACTACAGGAGGAACGGACGAAGATGTCAAATCGAGAATCGGGAAGGCGGGAAACACATTCACCAACCTGAAACCAATCTGGAAATCTTCGTCACTCAACTCAGCATCAACAACAAAATTCGGATTTTCAATACAAACGTCAAGTCAGTCAGTTCTTCTATACGGATCAGAAACTTGGCGGGTCACAAAGAATATTTCCAACAGCCTGTTGCAGACCTTTATCAACAGCTGTCTTCGTTCTATACTGAAAATCAGATGGCCGGAAAGAATCATCAACAAGGAACTATGGGAACAAACAAAACAAGAACCAAACACCCAACAAATATGCAGGAGAAAGTGGAGATAGATTGGACACTCGCTGAGGAGGCCGCTGGGTGACATCGCGCGTCAGGCCATAGCTCGAGTGGAACCCGAAAGGGAAGCGGTGAGTGGGACGTGCAAGGGTGACATGGAGGAGATCGTGCGATGAGGAACTGAAACAGTATGGACTAACATGGATGCAGTTGAAAAGTACAGCAGAAGACAGAAGCAAGTGGAGAGGTGCAGTTGAAGCCCTATGTTCCACTAGGAACCCAAGGGAACAATAATAATAGTAATAATAATCGAAAGAAGGCACCTGTTGGTGAAAGTCTTCAGCAGGCTGTTGATGTCATACGGCAAATCTCAGAACTCTATAGATGCACTGACGTAACATTGGTGTTAAAAAGTCGTATCTGGTTCCTCGTAATAATTGTTAAGGTGTTAACAAATAACATAAAAAACCAATGAATATTGTCATAATGATAATTATAGAACATGATTTAAGCAAATACGTATTTCCGGTAAATTCTCATCAAGCTTTACATTTACGGAAGGAAACATTAGTCATAGGCATTTAAATTTATATGGTTATTAAAGTGTAGGATCAGAGTTCAGGGATGTGAATTAATGGATAACAATCAAGATGGTCATAATAATAATAATAATAATAATAATAATAATAATAATAATAATAATAATAAGGAAAAATCTATTTACCGTTGCCTAGATTATATAAACACTTGGATGAATTTATCCTCGTTATTATTATGATGATCACCTTGATTGTTATCTATCATGAGCTGACATTGGTTAGAGAACCATTGGAAAACCTGAGAGTACTGGACAGCCGTTTCGTCCTAGTTTGAGGCTCTTCATCAGTACGCACCCACCACTGCTGTTCGAATCCAGGACCTTCAGGTTACAAGGCGAGCTCGTATACCATTAAACCACTGTCCAGTACTCCCAGGTTTTCCAATGGTTCTCTAACCAATGTCAACTCATGATGAAATCCTGTACCCAATCAATCAAACCCTTGCAAACCAATACTTGAATATGAATGAGGTGCTCATCGGCGACTGGCCCTATTCAGGTAGGTAGTTACCTGGAGTTCTAGTGGGAAGTCGTGACCAGTAGGGTGCAGCAGGTCGGGTGTGAGGACAAATACTCACCGAAGACATTGGCTAGCGGTTGCGCTATTTCGTGAATAGGCAGAATTTAGAATTCATGGACCATTGGATCGGGTCCCAGTGGCTTAATGGTATACGAGCTCGCCTTGTAACTTGAAGGTCCTGGGTTCGAACAGCAGTGGTGGGCGCGTACTGATGAAGAGTTCCAAACTAGGACGAAACACCTGCCAAGTACTCCTAGGTGGTTTTCCAATGGTTCTCTAACTGATGTCATCTCATGATGAAATCCTCTAACCAATTAACCAAATCCCTACGAACCAATACTTGAATGTTATCTATCAATTTGCACCTCTGAACTCTGAACCTATATTTTATTAATTACGTTATTTTGAGTCCCTATGACTAATATTTCCTTATGTAAATGTAAAGCCTGATGAGAATTTACCGGAAATACGTATTTGCTTAAATCGTGTTCGAAAATGAATATTATGTTCGCAGAAGTTGGGATTCATGGACCATTAGATCGGGTCCCAGTGGTTTTAATGGTCTACGAGCTTGCCTTGTAACCAAAAGTTCCTAGATTCGAACCCTGTCGGTGGGTGCATACTGATGAAGAGTTCCAAACTAGGACGAAACAGCTGACTGGCCAGTACTCCCTTTAGGTTTTCCAATGGTCCTCTAACCAATATCAGTTCATAACGAAATCCTAAAAGCAATCAAACCCCTGCAAACCAACCCAACACTTGAATATTATGTTGTTTTAATATTATAATTTGTCAATATGAATTTATCATTTCATTTAATATTCATTTTATTTTTCAAGGAATGAATCTACGTGATGATTTAGCCTATCGGGATAATGAACCTAGCAGTAAAGAAAAATAATCCAAGTGAAAAAAAAATAGGAAGATCAGAAGCCTTTATCTAGTCTACAACCACACCTACTACCATACCTACTACTATTAACGCTAACTAATAGCTGCTGTTACGATTATTTAGAGAATGTATTTTCATAATTTTAGGGATTTTTAAAATGAATACATGTGTGTAAATTACAATGTGATTTGTGTTTTGTTTTTTTGCAATATAACCTTTATATCACATGCAGTCACACGTCGGCGGGTGGGGGGGGGTGGGGTGTCATCGAATTGAGTAGACATATTATTAAAGGGAGAGGTGTAAACATTGTAATCAATGGATAGTCAATTAAGTAGATAGGCATTTTGGTGTTTAATTGGGAAGGTTTCATCATTATCTTCTTGGACAACAACTTCAATGCTTCCGTATGAGATTTTCAGTGCAGAAAATACACTTATTACTTTTACCGTTTTCCGATTTATAACAATTGGCCTTGTATTGATTGGCTCGAAGTTGTTCTTCTAATTGTCATCCTGTAAGCCTTTTTCTAGTTAAATACTGTATTTGTACTGTTTTTTGCGTTATGACCCTATTCAGTAGGAAGTTCGAGATTAGCTTTGTGTTCTTACTTTACGTCATGCTTTAGAGTGTATAAATGGGGATCTATTGAAACATATAAGCTCCTTCTCATACATTATCAGTTTTTTATTATCACTCTTTGCTAAGAAAGTTATACATTTATGCACACATGCATAAAGACGATTACTTCTTAAGTTCAAAAGCTTGAAATTCTGGTGATTTGAAGTTTGTGCTGAATATGTTGTCTAGAGAGATAATCAAATGTTCGCAATTAATTCACACAGCTCATGGGACGCAACCGGATCAGAAACACTTACAAAGTTTACCAAGGAAGGTTTAGTGTGATGACGAATTGTTTCTGAACGCATAAAGATGGTTAAAACTTCCTAATTCCAGGGCTTCCACAAACTTTAGGATACACCAAAACACGTTTTATAGATAGGTTTAAAAGACGGGTAAACATCAATTTTATGTCCTGTCTCTATAATATGTTTCGCAATAGAAGAGCTAGGTTGTCTGTTCTCACTATTAATGGGTTCTGAAGATTCGATTTGCTTTTGTAACCATTTAGGAATATGCTCTGAAGGCAGCCCTTGCTTGCAGAGATCTATGAGTCCTCTCTATGTATATGTGTCCACACGTACATTTAAATTGGTAAATACAGTGGGATGTGTCATCATTTTTCACATGTTCTAAGGGCTTAAATGGATATATCCGCTTCACATTCTCAATTATTCTGATCTTAGCTGCATAAGAAGTCTTTTTGGCTGTAGCGTTCAATCTTTGTAGAGTTACCAAGCTGATGTGGTGAATTTTAAAATTTGCCTATTCGGGATAACTGCCAGCCAGTATCATCAACGAGTATTGATCTCTTCAATTCAACATTTTTCTGCTTTTATAAATACTCAGCTAGGATCATACAACTATGAGTAATACTAAATACATGAAAATAGGTTTCAGATTATGTTGTAGAATAAAAAGAACATTTCCAGCAATGCTAATTATTAGTGGTGAAAACTGTTTGTGTTCTTGCCGTTCATCGAGGAAAAAGAATTCTCAGGAGTTAGAATTCATGGATGGTTGGATTCCAATACAGTGATTGTTGTGTGATCAGCGGGCTCACCTCGTAACCTAAACATCCTAGCTCTAATCCTCTTGGAGGAGGTCACGGGTGCGCACTGATGAGGAGTCCAGAATGAGGACGAAGAAACTGTTCATTGCTCCCTGGTTTTCAGTGGTTCTCTAAGTGATATTAGTTCGTGATTTGATATGAAAGAATAAAGAAAAGTATAACAGTTCTAGTAAAGAAATATCACTTTTTAGCTGAGAATATGCGTCGGTGATTCACTGGTAGAACACTCGTCAACCACGCACGTGATCTGGAGTTATATCTCTGGCTGACGCACTTATAAACCTTGCTTAGCTAGAGGTAAGCCCGGTAAAGGAAGAAGGTTGCGCGTCAGGCTAGCAAACTCCCCCCCATCGTAAAAAAGAACACGTTACTGAAAATTCAAAGATCAGGCTTGCGTGATATCTTCTAGTATCACCTTATCCTATCTTCTCGCTCTCCACGAACTGTCTGTTGCTTGATCCAGTCCACCACAATTAGGAATACCATCGATGATAGTAGGCAGCACTGCCTTAATCTCGTCTTCACTTCAAGGGATTCACTGAGTTTTCCGTTGTGGATTACTTGACATGCGGAATCATCGTATAGCTGCTGAATTAGATTGATAAAGGTTTGGGGCACTGCACTCTGTAGAGTTGAAACAGTTTTCAAATTACTTCACGGTCAACTCTATCAAAGGCCTTTTCATAGTCGATGAATTTGAAGTTAATAAACGGCTGAAACTGTATTTTCTAAGCTTGAGATTCTAGGCCAAAAAACCAGATATCTTATTTCAAATCGTGAATCGTACAGGTCGAGTCAAATAAGAGCTATACGTTAATGGGTAAAATTCAAAGTACATGAGATCTTTGTGATAACGAATTCTAAATATTGTCACGAAATAATCGATTACTGTTGTGACTGTTAAAATTAATTGCATTGATACGGTAAAACTGACTGATACGAACTGACCTAACCATCAATCGTTCTGAATGATCAGTGATCACATAGAACTGTACTATTCACACAAGTGCCCAATGAACTAATATGACAAAGTACAACAATCATTCATCACAGAATCCCTTCTTTTTACATTTAATAAATTATGATTTGGATGAAAACATGATCTAGATAATTTAATATGGAATATTTGACAGAGAAAAAAATCATCAACCAAGGTCAGTCTAAAAGGTCTTTAGTCAACCAATCAATTTTTACTGATAAGTAGATAGATATAAGCCTGTATTTCTCTTCGCTGTGACAGAATAGGATAAACTAATATTTATTTAACTATGGAAGATAAAATAAAATAGTTCATTAGGATTTGTAAATAAAAGCATGTATGAATGGTATGTAAATATAAAATAAAGAATGCCCGCCAACCTCGCAGGAGGCTTGAGTTCGACTCCTGCCGAAAGACCCTTAATTCCTGCCTAGTTTACAAGGCGGTAGTAAGGTTGGAAATGACGGAAGGTTGGCCTAAGGACTAATAACCTCATTAGATAAAAACAACATAGGAGTCATTGAAACTTCGAAAAACAGCTTGAACATTGAACGTTTGTTCATTGGCCTTGGTCACCATTGGTGGGCAACTTGAAGGCGCGAATGATTCGATCGTGTACAAGTTGGAAGAAGACGAAAGAATACGAATAAAAGTACAATACATTCCTTGTACAAACCTTTGTTTATAGACTTAGTACAGAATATTGATTTTAACTATCGAAGAATACAATTTCTTGTCATTCATTGGAGTTAAAGTTGATATTTGTACCTAGTATAATTGTCGATTCGGAGCGTCTTCGGAAATAATAGGAAGTCCCTTGAAAAGCCCTATGTTTCTTTGTGAACTCGATGGAATGAAATACAAATATTTCAGTAGAGAATTCAAAAGTATCTAAAAATTTCTCTAGAATGTAAGTATTCATTTTCTTGAACATGAAGAACTGTAGAGTAAAATGAGTTACCATCGCAGATGATTTTTTTCAGCACTTTAAAGAATAGTTAAACTCCTCAAAATTGAATGGTACGCAGTTTTGGGAATCTCAGTAGGACTTATTTCTTCATGGAATAGCTTTTCTGATAAATACATCTTAGAACAAAATAGTTAGAGCGAACAACTGTTTTCAAAAAATTCTTCTTCAGGCTCTACAGTTATAAATCCATTAATTCAAGCATACAATAGCCAGCTAGTAAAGGTAAATCTTTAAAAAGACTGGCTGCATATTTAGACTGTTAAGTGATCTTAGTATGAGAATATAATTTCTAAGTTGTCAATTCAGAACAAAAGTATTTAGAGCTGAAGAGGTAGCAATCAACACTAGAAGACCGACTATTTGTATACAGAAGAAGTATATTCAACCGCTATGTTTACCTTGGCCTACAATAAGGCCAACAAATCTTCTATAAACATTAGCACTTTATATTTTTATCAAAATTTTCTTATCGCCTTCTTCTATTCCTTTGTTTCATTGAAAAACGTTCATTTTTTGACTTTTTATGATTTTATTACCTTATCGTATTAACAAAATCCTGTTAATTCCACTTCACTAAATTTATTATTATTATTTTATAATCATTCACCAAGAATACTTTTAAGTTTACACCATCACATCATGGTTATTATTTCACAATCATTATTATTGTTGTTATTTTCACGCTTGAACTTATGTCTAGTCCGACCCATTCGTTGGTTTATTTTCTGTAGTATTCATATTGTGTCATACAATATTGATTATATTCACCCTTGAAACCTGTATTTTTGTTGCCTATATTTAAATATATGCACACACACTAAATTATTTCATCTCATGTTCTCACTGACCATGCATATTCAAAAACTAACTGACTATTGTTCCATCCCATCTTATACTTGTTCCACAATACACATTTCTCATATGATTCTAATTTGCTTTACTAACTGGCTATTGTATGCTTAAATTAATGGATTTATAATTGTAGAGCCTAAAGAAGAATTTATTGAAAGCCACAATTGTTCACTATAATTATTTTTGTTCTAAATAAATTATGGGAATATTCAAATTACTGAAATTTTAATTACTAATAATAGACGTCTATGGTTGAGTGCTAGAGTGCTTGCCAGTCTCCTTAATAGTCTGAATTCCATTCCTAGTTGACGAACTCCTGAACCTCACCTAATTTACTTGCCAACAGTAAGTTCAGAAGAAAGGTGAGGTTAGGTGTGTGACTAGCAACCCCTTTATGTAGAAGCATTCAACAGTGCTACTGAAATTTCAAAAAGAGCTTAAAGCCGTATGTTCCACTTGGAAAGCAAAGAACTGAAAAATAACTGTACAAAGTATAAACTGATAATTTATTTTTATAAATACAATTCAAGAACTTATTGTAAAGTCTCGTAGAAAGAAAAAAAAGTGATATGTCATTTGGTATCATGAAAAAAAGTTTACTTTAAAGGTGTATAAAAAATATCTGTCAAAAAAATGTTATAAATATACAATTCCAGAAAGGAATGTGTCGTAGTCTATTTTATGCACATTAGAGAATTCGCATTTAAAAAATATGATTTACAAAAATCTCAACAAAAACGGGAAAATAAACAGGATGATATGCTCACATCTGTGTGCATACATGTTGTACAAAATTATTTGAAGAAATGATAAATATTACGTAACATAATCTGTATGTTATATCAATTTGCAAAAATAAAAACAAGAAAAGACAATTAAAAAGAAAGCAGTATATAAAGATCGTGATCAGCTGGTTAGTCCTGATGTCAGCTAACTGAAATCTACCAATCAAATGTATAATTTGTCTACAGTAGGCCTTACTGGGCGCTACGCCTACGCATTTGTAAGCAGCTTACACTTCTTCTGATTGGTAGGTTTCAGTTTGTTGATATCTAAGACAATCAGCTGGCTTATTAGTACAACTTATCCACTGCAGTAGTTACCATAATTAATAACATATTTAAAGTTCTGCATTTCTTTGTTTGATATATTTTTTTCCAAAAAAAGTGAATTCCTGTTTTATTAATTTACACAACTCTTACATTTTTTCTCTTTTTTGTTTGTAATTTTCAGAATGTGATATCTTAATAAAAAATAAGATAAAATAGAAGAATAACATTGTTTTATAGTTTTACTGCTCAGTATTCCAATAAAAATAGGACACTGAACTAAAAATTTATAAATATTTTAAACCGTTCATGTATTGTATTCAAATTCAAAAGTGTGTTGGAGAAGTTGGTGATGTGGCTGTTGTTGATGCCGATGTCGACGCTGGTGATGACAATGATAGTGAGACAGTTCTTGAAATTCTTGGCACTTGTAATTCATCATTCTGTGAAGTGATACTAATCTCTTCATTGAATGGATTTGTTAGTAAATTTGACAAATCAATATTACTGTCTTGTTTTACCGTGTCTATCAATTTAGCATCTGTTAATTCCTGTGGTAAATCCATATGATTATATAAAAATTTTATTAAATTATCTAGCGTTGTTTTAATTTCGTTTTGAATATATTTTAAATGATCAAAATCTGTAAATAAAGCTTGATCATATAAATGCATTGAATAAGGTGATATCGGGGATGCTGGAAGAGATGATCTTGGAGAATAATAGGCTGGATTACTTGAATTTCTTCTAGGTTGATATGAAGTATACGGTTGACAGGGATATTGAAAGTCTGTTGTTGTTGTTGCAGGTGACGCTAGTGTTTCTGTTACTGATGAAGAGAAATTAAACAGCGAGCTAGCCTGTAGACTAGTCCTTCTATAGGTGTTATTTTTATCTTGTGTTGTTGAAGTATTGAAGTACATATCTAAGTGTGTTGCACACATACTTAATGATTTGATACAATTCCCGATAAGCAGATGAGTTTCTTCATTCAATTCGTTCTTATTATTATCCTGAATATCTTCTATATTTAAAGAGGATGAAGAGGAATCCATTAAACTTTTAGGAAGATGGTTCAGTTGATTTGGTTGTACTGTTGTCTCCATAAAAGATGAATCTGTACTGTCATTATCATTATGGTTAGCATTGTTACTATTATTATTGATATTTTTCATATTGATCATTCCAGTACTGTTATAAACGGATGATAATGAAGGATATTTTATTCCAGATGTTTGTAAATGATTATTTGCAGTTGATTTTGTTGTTACATAACTTGTGAATAAATTACTTAGACTAGTTGTGAAATTTGATATCTTCTTTGAATCAGGATGATGATGATGATAGCCATTGCAACGCATAGAATTTGTGCTGTTAGTTAATTGTGGTACGGATAAATGCAAATCTGTGTAATTACTAGAGGCATCATGATTCACGTTTGGTTCGATGAAAAGTGAGGTATGCGTTCGATTATTATTATTATTACTATTGGTATTATAGTAATCATGATTAAGATTTACAGAACTAAAACTTGTATGACCTTTCCTGTGAGGAAATTTACTTTCATCGACTGATGAATTACTACTACTACTATTATTATTAGTAGTAGTAGTATGGTTATTTAAAAGTTGAACATTATCATTATTCCCTGTGAAATGTTTACTTAACTTTTGTAGACTTAATAAGTCTGTTATAGATACACCTCTGCTAAGCATTAATGATTGTTCATAATCTTTAAAACTTTTACTACGTCGTATTGTACCAACAGTTGTACCGTTATTAATAATAATATTATCATTATTGTTATTATTACTACTGTCACTGTTATTATTATTAGTAGTAGTATGATTTGTGTTTTCTGTCTCTCGATAACTGGTCGATCGATTAAGCATTGGTGAATTTTGTATTTTCAGTCTTATTTTATCACGTATACATGGAAGTGATAATACTGAATTAGATTTATGATAGCTGTGAAAAATAGTATTCATATTGTTAGTTTTTTCTCCAATACTTGATCTACCTTTGGAATTCATACTTTTTATGCTACCGTCATTACTGGACTGACTATTTCTATGGCTCATAGTATGATTAGAATGAGGAATCTTCTTGGGTGCATTGTTATTGTTATTCGGATAATTCTCATCATTGTCATTACTACTACTAGTGTCGTCTGTGTAATATTTATAAGCATTCGGTGGTTTATAGTACAGTTGAGGTTTATATAAATGTAAAGCAAAGTAGACTAAATAGGCAACATCTATACCAGTTGGATAATTCATCAGTAAGGTTAAGCATTCAGCGAATTCATATTTCAGTAGCAGGGGAGCTAAACGTAACAGCATACTTAAATACATGTATGGTACAAAGGCTAAATTATCATTAATAGCAAATATACAATCCCATATATATAATAAATCTTGTAATGGGAATTCATGCCCAAACAACAGGCGTATCCAACGTAGACCAAACAGTTTTGGTTCAATATCTAAATGTTTTAAATGTCTATATAATTTTGGATGATGTTTTAATACTAATTGTTTATGTATCTCTTCAACATAACAATAGCCGGAACAATTGTGTTTTGCGTGTTCTTTTTCATCAAAGTAGAATCCGGACTTCTGATGTTTTCCTTCTTGATAGTGTTGTTGTTGTTGTCCATCTTGATGATAGTCATAATATTCATCTGTATTCGATCGTCTTCGGTTTGTTTCGACGTTGTCGGTAGTTTTATCTTCCAGTTCATTGTGATCATAATAAAGCTGGAAATGATTTGACTTATTATTACCATTAGTGTTACTGTTACTATGAGAAACTCTTCTCCTCTCTTTTGATTGGTTTAAATTGTTTTCTTGTCTTCCACCGGGTAATTCTACAGAGGTAAGTCTTCTAATTCCCTTCTCTTTCTTATTATCACCATGATTATTAAGATTGATTAAGTTATTGGTCAATTTTGATTGAGGATACCAATGTTTAATAGAATTCATCACTTTAGCAAATATTGTATACACATCAGCTTGAAAATATTCTCTATTCAATACATAATTTAGCGTGTTCCATAGATCTGATGAGATAAGCTTCATTTCTTGTACATGTTCAAATGCAATTAGATCACAGTGTAAAACAAATAATATTGGTGCTAATATCTCATGCATACCTTGTTCATAGGATATATTTTGATGTTCTGTATAAATATATAATAAATTAATCATAATATCACGAATTGTTTGACTACGAAAATATTGTACATTTGGAAAGGTTCTATCCACATCTTTAGCTATACACCGTTTAATTTGTAAACCATGAAAATATTTATTCCATAAACTTGTTGTATTCGAAGATAATGGATGATCATTCGTGAAGTTATTTTGATTAGAATTATTATTATTATTACTATTATTATTATTGTGTGGATCAGGATTAATTTGATGACTCAATCTGGCAAAATATTCACGATCTGTTTTTAATTGTTTCGACCAATTGTTAACATCACTTGGTAGAATACCAAGAAATATACGCCAACAAATACTACGAAAACGGCATACACGTAGTTGTCCATTGATAGCGTGATTAATCAGACGTGAGAAGAGATTATAAGCGCTGGAGATATCTCCGACAGTTGAGTTATTCGTAGGGATAGTACGCTTTGATCCGTTCAACTTTTCTTCAGAATTTACTGATACTTCTGTCTTCTCATCTTCATCATCATTTATACTGGTATGATCGAATAAACAGTAAAATTCTCTACTATATGAATTTGTACAACTTGGACTTTGTGTCCAGCCTAAATTTAATGAGGATGTGTTTAAATTTAATTGTTTTGGTCTATTGTTATACAACTTTTGACGATTAAAGAATTCCTGTTTGGTTGTAGCAGCTGATGTGTAGGATGATGATGGTGAGGCTAGAGGTGATGACAGTGGCAATGGAATTATTGGCGACAGTAAATTATTTCCTTCACATGATATTGTTTTTGATATTAAAGGAGATGAGGTTGACATGTGTTTGTTTTCTAATTGCCTCCATTCAACGCCTTCTTCGCCTTCTATGTGATTTATACTATTTCGAATTTTATTAGATGTTAACATTGTCAATGGATATAACTGTGAAAGTGTACACTAGATATCATTTGATGTTAGTGGTATGACCTATGTAAGTTAAAACAAGAAAAGTAGTGATTAGAGATTATATAACATACAAATAATTATAAACAGAGAAACGTTTTGCATGTAAAAAACACCATAATGACCAAAGTTGGGCCCCCTTTCAGCTTAACACTCACCAATATAAAATAGCTGTTAAAAGACGCAACATATATATACCTTCATATCAGTCAATGCAGAAAACTGTGGATACCGATTTCACTGGATGTACAAATCTTAGACAAACGAAACACCAGAAATGACAGGGGACTTCTAGAAGTTTGGTACTCAGATGAATCTGAAATCAACAAACATAGTGAAGAATAAGTTACATAGCCAAGAGTAGTCCAATTCCAAGAGAATGATTGATACTGATGCAAATCAACAACCAATCGCAACCAAGATGGTCAAGAGAGACAATTATATAATTATTTATTGGGAATTCAAACTGGTTTGCTTTTTATTGAAGTCTGCAGTGAAGGTATTGTCCAGTAAGACAATGAAACTACCTCGGCTCAAAGAATACAACTATACAGATATCGTCCATCTCGGCTACAAATTTTGTCCATTTATGAATTTAAACAGTGTATTGAGCTATGACAGTTTCATTAAAAGAATAAAAATATGCCGTGAGAATTATCATGTATTCGAGCAGCGTGACCGCAAATCTGTTTATTAGTTCAACTGATACGAAAATGAAGAAAGGAAAGGTCACTTAAAAAAACCAAAGTTCTGATAATAGGAGCAAAGAGGAATATAATAAGAATAAATTATCTACCAATACAAATGTAGTTAAAGAATATTCTCTTAAGTTTCTGAATGAGTATGATGTATATTTAAATTTTAAAACCTGCAGCTGATTCTGGACCAAAAAATGATAGTTGTAGGTTATTTGGCTGATAGTGATAAACAGCGGAATCCAGGATGTACCTTGATTGAAAACTAGTTATTAACTAGTGTAATGTCTCTAGTCCTTCGTTTGGTGCAGTCAAGTTTGCAATGAGGCAACCATTCTAAGTGGCTCACCATCACGGTGCACTTTGAATTGTTGATATTAGATGGCTGGAGGCAGTCAGCAGGAAGCCTTGGACCGACGTTTCGTGCTAGTTCTCACTCGTGATGCGGGTTCGAATATCAGAAGGGACATGAGTTCTTTCAAGGTTGCAGATACGCCTTGCTGACTGGTGAGTGACAACTAGCACGAAACCTAGGTCGAAGGCTTCCTGCGGATTGTCTCCAATCATCTAAAATCCAGGATATACATATCATTCCATTTGGGAATTGTCAGAAGAATGCATCTGTAATCCCAAGTGGGTGATGAAGTCCCACTGACACTCGAATTTAGCACCCATAGTTTCAAACACTAAAGCATTACACGCTTGGCGATTTCTTATTCAGTATGTAATCTTTATGTGTTTACATTGCAAAAATTATCAATTATCATTCCCCCTACACTTAAATCTCATATTATTTTTTTACCAGTTTAATTGATGGTCCAGTTACTCATTTTCATACAAGTCAAGTAGATGTTTAATCAGGCTGTTTGAATTATTCATAGCTCAAATACATCACAATTCTCAGATAAACTTCATATTTCTATATTGCCGTCTATATTTATTTAAGGGACTAAATATTTTAAATTCTGTTGAGTGTTAATATAACTATTATTTCATCAGTTAAACTTTAATTTCCATTTATGAAATGTACCTTAGTTTATACTTAACTGGTACATACAATACAGTACATATATATATATACAATTATACTATTTTTCAATAGTCTGTAAACTGTATTTATGTGCACATTTTTATGCAACAAATTACAACTACTTTTTAATTATTAAGTAGTATGATAAGTTTGATTAAATTTGAAAGCATTGGTAGGTGCTCATTAAAAGAGGTTGCTAATCACTGCACCGATCCTACCTATCATACGTTAATTTAAACAGTAACTACTCAAAATCCTTATTAGTTACATCATCTTCTCCCCCAAAAATATCATAATAACGTTGCTTAGCAACAGCAAATATACTCTTCTACTATTAGAATAAACGAAGAATGGTATTCTTATATCAATGGTATTTATTACCATTTTATAAATCTAATGTTAGTGATTAACCCCTGTGGTTAATTATAGCTAATAAATTAACTAAAACTAATTTACACCAACGACTATTGTTTTTTTCATTATAATGCGACTTCTTCCCAACAGTATCCTAACTATGAAATAAGGTTTATGAAGGACACCATTATGAAAAATGTAGAACCTGAAGACGCAGAAGAAGAAATTATTGAAATGAATATTCTTTGTTCACTAATCAGCCTTTCAGAAATGACAGTCACACCTGTATAAATATGTATATATATACCTTAGCTATATGACACAGATATGCATGAATATTACATAACATGATAGATTTAAATTGTACAGTTTGACATGCTCATTTATGTGAAACACTTTAAACACAGCATGCATATAAAGGATCCATTAGATTATTCTATAAAGCAAAAATAAAAGACCTGTTCTGTACATTCATTTATTCATACAGGATACCCTTGATCTGTTCAACAAGGCTTACTGATTTATTATTACATCATTCTTAGTTGTGTAATACTATTATAATTTGGTATTAGATGGTTGGAGGCAATCGGCAGGAAGCCTTGGACCTAGGTTTCGTGCTGGTTGGCACTCATCAGCATAATTTACCCAAAAATAAGTGATCATAGATTACACGATCACTGAGTATTAATATTATGAACTCATGTGATGTACAGTAAGGAGAAGGTAGTATTGAACTATGTAGAATATATATATATATATTTATTGATCAGATCCAGGCCTTATGTGCTCTTGGATCCTAGAAAATGCATCACTATTATTATTATTATTCTAAGCACTACTAAATGAAAATGTTCATATATTGATTTAGATCATATTAGGCACACACACACACACCTACACACTACTAAGCCTATTAAAATAAAATACAGACAAATTTGATTGAAAATTGTTATAGCTCTTTTTGTTCTCTCTGTTCGTCATGTAGGTTGTTGTTTTAGTACTGATAATAATAATAATGGTAGTAGTACTAGTTAGTAATAGTGCAATTATTGATTTTTTTTCAAAAATACACGTGTTCTTTATCACAAAAAAACTTGTGTACATTCATGTGTGAGTGCGTGCTTGCGTGAGTGTGTGTGTGTGCATACATGTGAAGTTGTTAACTGAGGAAGTCATAACTTTATATCAAAATGTATGTACACTTTTTTTTCAAGAGATATAAATAAATTCAAGCAGTCAGTGGAAATACCACGTTTTCTTTTTGGTGGGGTTAAATAATGAAGGATTTTAATCAAAAAACAAAAGAAAAGAAAAAAACGAACAAAAGACATAAAACATGAGACGAATTACTTCGTCATGATTTTTCCTTTTAATCTCAGGTGTGTGCGTGTATGTGTGCATATGTCCAGTTAAATAAATGGCTAATTAGTTGTTTTATAATCTATAAGTAGATAAATATAATTTAAAGTTATTTTGGTCAACTGAGACAATCACAATAGTTAGGACTTTTCAAGTGGATAAACCTGAATTCTCAGAGAATGACGGTGTTCCCACCGAGACTCTTGCTAGGGAGTCTAAATTAGGACTAAATGTGCCTCTAATAACAGTTTAGTTTTCTATAGTTTGGTTTGTAAGGGTTAGTTATGTTCTTACGAGTTGATCACGGATTGATATCAGTTAGAGAACCATTGAAAACCAGCACTGGAGTACTGGACAGCTGCAGTTTCATCCTAGTACTCCTTGGTTTTCAATGGTTCTCTAACTGATATCAATCCGTGATCAACTCGTAAGAACATAACTAACCCTTACAAACCAAACTATAGAAAATTAATCTGATGCTCACTAGTGACTTGCTACAGGATGGAGTTTCCTGGAGTTCTAGTGAGAAGTCGTGACCAGTGAGGTCCAATTAGATGTCACGTGTGTGGATAGATGTCCCACCGACGACAATGGTTGGGGTCGCGCTAAATCACGAATTGGTAGAAGTTAGAATTCATGAGCCGTTGAATCGGGTCCCAGTGGCTGGATGGTATACGAGCTTGCCTTGTAACCGAAAGGTCCTGGGTTCGAACCCTGGAGGTGGGTGCGTACTGCCGATGATTCCCAAACTAGGATAAAACAGCTGTCCAGTACTCCCCGGAGGTTTTCAATGGTTCTCTAACTGATATCAATCCGTGATCAACTCGTAAAAATCAACAGTTTAGTCACAATTAGCTAAAAACTTTTCACATATTTGAAGGAATTCGTGCTAGGAGCCAGCACATGTCAGCAGAGACCGATCACTTCGGTTCAACAACATAATCAATCAACCAATCAACAGGAAATGCAAATTAATCTAAAAATGAATAAAAATATGTACATATAATATTCCGAATATGTAAAATGTTTCTATTCATTCGATTAGCTGTATAGTATGTAGAACTATCATTAAAAGAATCACTCAAGGTAATTAAAATACAAGTTACTTCCACTCTACTACATATCATTAAAGATATAGCGACTGAATGGGTAATAACGAAGTTATGCAATAATAAATAAACAGTTTTCAAGGTTTCCCCATGTATGCACATTAGTAGCTTAGTGGTGGAATGTTCACCAACCGTACACTTGATTTGGAGTTTGATTCCGGACCGACATACTTGCAAACCTCGCCCATTTTACTAGCTGATAGTAAGATAGGCAAAGAAGGGAGGTTTGGCATGAGGATGACAACCCCAACACTACTGTATCTTTCAGAGCTTAAATGCCTATTTCCCAATTGGAATGCGAAAAAATTAAAATAAAAGATTTCCTCTACCATGTTGGGAACATCGTTTTAGTTTTTATTTCTGTTTTGTTACTTCAGTTAATTATGACAATGTCTTATCTCCATTCATACTCCTAATTGGAATATTTAATCCCTACTCAACTTATTATTATCATTAATACTATTTTAGTCATCGAAA